GGGTGTCCAGGAATGCATAAAGGTGAATTAAAAGAACCAATAATAATATCCAACATTATCCCTTTTAATCTTTCTAATATTAAGAGGTACTTACAATTTTTTTTTCATTTTCACAAATGAGGAAATTAACATTTAGGAAGGTGAAGTAACTTGCTCAAAGCTACCCTCCTAATGAGAGACAGAACCCAGATCAGAACCCTAGGTCTGCACACAACCCTCACACATGAGGAATCAACTTCTACTGCGTATTTACTGAAATCACCTCACTTGAACCTTCAAAGACTGATGTGGCTGAATGGGCCCATCACACAGCCCATAGGTCGGGCCGTAGGCACAGCCTCACTCCTTGCAATGAGGACACACCATGAACTGTGGCCTTGCACGCACCACCACCAAAACAGAATGCAGCACTCACCCCTTCCTCATTTGCTGGCCTTTGGCTCCTTCTTTTGTGCTGTGTGCAACAGGCTTCTGATCTCCCTCAAGGAAGTCCAGTTTATCAGAGAAACCTGGGAGTGAAGTACTTTGATCAACACCACAGTGTTTTAAAAAAAGATTCAACTTCAAAAGAAGGATGTTACTTATGGAATTGGTATTAAGGGCACATCTTGCTCCGCACACCATTGTCAATCGTTAGGTCCAATAGTTCCAAATCAATCAAGCCTTCAGATGTGTTTGATAGAATCAGCAGGTACCCCTGCTCCCCTGCAGCCTTATGAGAGAATACACTCACCTTTCTGATATTTCTTAATGGCACTCATCATGTGTGATTTCTCCTTCTGCCGCTTCTGAAGAACCTCTGTTTGCACCTGGATGTGGACACAGCACTGTTACACCCACTCCAAACCAGCACTCCAAATGTCTACAGTCTCTCAGTGACCAGGCTGTGACCACCACTGAGCACTGACTGTGTGCCACAACCACGGTAAGGCTCTAAGTATATTCTCAATTTCTCATCCCAACAACCCACTGAAGCAGAAATTCTTATGACCCCAAAACAAAGCACAGAGAGACGCTATAATTTGCCTAAGTCACACAGCAAGTGTGGAGCTGAGATTCACACCCAGGAAGTCTGCATTCTTACCCATGACACAACCTGCTACAAAACTGCACAAATCATGTTTATGTCAACATCCAATTCTCTCCCTAATTACATCTGGGCAGATTAAATACCTGAACCACTGTTGCTAGGCATGAAAATATCAACAGAGAAAACAATCTCCCCCAAAAACAAATAAAAAAACACCTTTAAGGATAAAAAGAGATGGTTAAACTCTAAGGCAGAGTTTCTCTATCCCAACACTATGACAGTTTGGACAGGATCATTCTTTGTCAGGGGGGAGCATGGCCTGTCCTCTGCATTGCAGGATATTTAGAAGCCTCCCTGCTCTCCACCCACAAGCACCAACTGCACACTCCCCACCAAGGTGTGACAACCAAAAATGCCCCCAGACATTGCCAAATGTTCCCTGGTCAAACAAAATTATCCCCATCGGACTGTGCTGGGAGGTCAGGTTTGGAAACCATTGATCTGGACCCAGCTCTTCACTGTACAGGTGTGGAAAGTACAGCCCAGAGAAGTGTCTGACTCGCTTGCAGTGACCATACTACTTCTGGTGACAACAGGTGTCCAGGAGGGATTGTGTTTGTGGACATGAGCAGCCCATGCTGCTATGAGGGAGTAAACACACAGCAGAACACACACCAGGCACAGAACCAACTCAGACCAGGCAATCTACGGACAAACACCCTCGGCCCCATCCCATCCCTGTCCGTTGTCCTTCCCACCTTCTTTCCATATTTTCTAAGTGCTCGCAGCTGCTTGGCCTTTTCCGACTTCTCCATGGCGGCCTGCTTAGCCTGCAGTTTCTGTCGAATCTAAAACACAAACTGTTGTCAGCTTATGTTAATTGAAAATGGCGTGGAAGCTGCTTAGCGTGCACTGCGGCAGGGAGCAGGCACACTGTGGAGTTCTGCACAAAGGGGAGCTCAAAGGGAACTTGTGAATCATCTACTCCAAGCCCTGTGTTTCACACACAAGGATAATAAGGCCCAAAGGCTAACACCTTTATCCAAGACACCAAAAGTCTTAGCCTTGGAACCACAACATCAAGGTGACCTTCTTATTCCCAGTGTGCTGTTTGCTCTGTTAAACAAAACAGCTTGCTTCCCACTGAATCAGGAGAAAAGACGAACTTCTCTCCATCCATACCATCTGCAGACGGCGGTGAAAGCAATATGCAGCTTTAGCCTCCTTCTCCAGTAGACCATCTGCACTATAAAAACTCAAACTGATATCAGGTACCTAGCTATTAGATTAAACATACACATTTCAGTTAAAGAATGAACAGTTATGAATTTGAATGTGCAGAAATGGGTCTGGGTTCATCTCTAGATTAGCTCCCTTGAGTACCACTGAGACAAGAAAATCCAGCTTGAGACCCAGGGGAACTATTTAAGTATATCTTAGATTAGACGTTGGTAATTCCCTGCCTCCCAAAGTTGAATAAGGACCAAATTTTACCTAACTGTACAGTTCAGTCACTCATTCATGTCCGACTCTTTGCAAACCCATGGACTGCAGCACCCCAGGCCTCCCTGTCCATTACCAACTCCCGGAGTTTACTAAAACTCATGTCCATTGAGTTGGTGATGCCATCCAACCATCTAATCCTCTGTTGTCCCCTTCTCCTCGTGCCTTCCATCTTTCCCAGCATCAGGGTCTTTTCCAATGAGTCAGCTCTTCGCATCCAATGGGCAAAGTATTGGAGTTTTAGCTTCAGCATCAGTCCTTCCAATGAATATTCAGGACTGATTTCCTTTAGGATGGACTGGTTGGATCTTCCTGCAGTCCAAGGGACTCTCAAGAGTCTTCACCAACACCACAGTTCAAAAGCATCAATTTGGAGCTCAGCTTTCTTTACAGTCCAACTCTCACATCCATACATGACTACTGGAAAAACCATAGCCTTAACTAGCCTTAACTTAGCTAACTGTAAATTATGCCAAATCTGAGCCATACATCAATCCTTCATTTTACAGCAGAGAAAAACTGAGGCTCAGAGAAAGGTAACTGTCTCCAAGTTATAATGCTGCCCCGGCAATGGCAGGAAAGAACTGTTGTCTCTTCCACACAGAATACCATGACCATGCCAGGAGATGCATAAAGATCATCTTTACCCTAGGTACCACACTTCTTACATTATGTTCCTCCCTTAACTGTTAGGAAAAAGTCAACCTTACATTTGTCCAACTGGTGTTGATTAGCATGAATCTGACATAGATAACTGAGATAATAATTGTCCTCTGACAACTGGCTCCCTATTAATGTGCTTATGCCTTTGTTTGTTTGAACATTAAGGGAGATAAGTCAGCTGTATAGACTTAAGTACAAAGCCTCAGTCTTCCACAGAAAACCTTTTCCATTTCTTACCTTCTGCATCTGCTGATCAGACTTGGCCATCTCTGCAAAGTAATCCGTAGGCCGCTTGGTAGGCACTTTGAGCTGATGGAGGCGGGGCAACACTGCAAGCACTGCTGCCTGGGCTTGACGGTAGCTGAGGATGTAGGACACAGTGTGAAATAAGCTAAGGCAGAGAGGCCTTACATCCTTCTCACTGCCTCTCATAAGGTATCCAAGGTCTGAAGATCCCACAACACCTGACCTCCACCAGCAAAAACACACACACAAACAAAAATGGTAATAAAACCTCATTAACTCATTAGGAGAAATCTTTTAAAAAGGGTGGGGAGTATTGCTTAAAATGAATTAGTAGTTTAATAAAATGTCCACTTTAGAAGTGCTCACTAACTTACAAATGCCAGTTACACATTCTTATTTAGTCACTAAAAATAAAGTCCATAAAAGGATCCTGCATAAGAAACTTTTTGTTCTCATAATCAACTGCACAAAAAACTTTAAAATTTAATATTTGAAAATAAACTGGACTTTAAATTGTGACTGCTGGACCACGGTGTTTTTCTCTCAACCACGGAGCATCTCCTACTCTTTAGCCCAAAGAAGCTTTACTCCCTACTCCCAGGCTTAGGACACCTCGGAGGAACACAAGCTCATGGGTTCCGCCCTCTCCCCACTCTCTAGCACAGGGACCCACAACCTTTCACACACTTGAAAACATACATACAAGCTCATCTCACGCTTAAAGTCATCTTCTGGATCAACAGCTTTCGGATCCTGGTTCTGAGATGTTGACTGAGGTCCACTGATTTCTGGTACCGGACCCAGGGTCACATCAAGCCTTTCAACCCATTCCAGATCCCGCTTGAATTCAGCCAAACACTGCTTCAGGCCATTCTAGGAAATTCAGACACCAAGCTCACAAAAAGGTAACAGGCCAACAAACGAAGTGCCAACCTCCAAGACCCCAACAGGTAGTTGACCCTCTTGGCAATGCGCAGGATGAGTCTTTCCTGGAACTAGAACGCAGTTTCTGGAGCACAACAGTGCCTCGCGCGCATCCCAAGTCTAGCATCCTCCGACCGGGCCCCCGAACTCACCACGTCATTCACGGCCTTCTTCGGCCCCTCTAGCACCACGTTGAGGCCTGGCTTTAGAAGCCCTCGGGAAAACGCCTCCTGCAACTACAGGGCACGTTCCGCGGTGAGAACGGGAGAGTGAGGAGCCCTTTCCCTCGCGCAGCTCCGCGAGCTCGGAAGATACCTACCTCTCTGTCTGTGACAAGAGAGTCATCAGAATCGGAGTCCGAACCTGAGAGCGGGGGGGTGTCCATCTCACCGCGCGCGAGTCCACACCCACCGAAGGAATTGGAGTAGCCCGAGACGCCCGCGCCTGGAAAAGGGCGCCGCTCGCCGCGGTCGGTTTGCAGCCCCCCGCCCTCCTGCCGCGGATCCACGTGGACTCGAACCGCACCGGAGCAAACAGCTGCTCCAGATCTCTCTGAGCAAAAGACTTCCGCTTCCGGGTGCTGACATACTTCCGGCTTGCCGTTGCTATAGGAACCGCTCCGGCGTCGGTGAGTGCCGGGCTGCTTCGGATTCGTAGGGGCAGTACCCTGGACACACGCGTGGTCTGGTGATCCAGAGAGCAGAAGCTTACAGGTGGGAGAGATCCCTGGGGGTCGTCCAGAGGAGCAGGAAGCCGCGAAGGCGAAAGGAACGAGCAGACGCAGGAGCTGGGTCTGGGGCACTGGACGAGTTTGCTAAGGGGAGGGGGCGGAGGAGCAGTTCGGGGGCGGACCCACGGGCGTGTCGCGGGGAGGGTGCGGCAGGGTGGGCGGGGTTTCGCGTTTCTCCTTGCTCACCAGCTGCGTTGCATCTTTAGCGGAACTACCCGGACCATGTCCACTGTGGTAGCTCAGTCGCTGCATGTTTTTGGTCTTCGATCCCACGTGTCCAACAATGTCTTCTTCTTCGATGAACAGATCATTATATTTCCTTCAGGAAATCACTGTGTGAAGTACAATGTGGATCAGAAATGGCAAAAATTCATTCCAGGTAAAACTGTTTTCAATCTGACACCTAGGTAACCATGTGAACCAAATATAACACCGTAATCCCAGTAGGACGATTGAAAGAAAACTTTTTTGGCCAACTTGAATATACATATAGTTTTATAAATGTAGAAGAAATACATGTCTACTTGCTTTATTTTAATGTATAGATTAATGAATCATACATACTTAAAGTCACATGTAAAATCATGTTAATTTAAAGGTACTTATTTTCACTGTGATCTAATGGAAAAAAATTCTTTTGAAGAGTTTCATGCATCTTCATTATCACTCTCTCTGTCATCTCCAGGGCTGCTTTTTGACTTCTCTAACAGTTTTCTAGAGTACACCACTTTCATTACAGACCTTTTGAATCCATTTATGATGAAGACACTGGAGATTTTACCCCAGGTCAGAAATAACCATTTGTGTACTGTAACATTTGGTTTTGTTCACATTGGTCCTGCAAATGATATATATGATTTCCACATCTTAGCCACTCTTTTTCACTGTTTTCTGCACTCAACCCGTTCTATTGTGACATGCATACAAAAGACTGTATACTACATATATGTAGTATTTAAAGAACTATAGTAAAATGAAAATCTGCACATCTACCAAAAGGAGAGCAAATAGTACAGTACCAGTTCCTGTGTTTCTCCCTGACATCATTCATCTCACATGTGCCCACTCTCACTCCATCCTGGAATTTGTAATTATTCCCTTATTTCTCTGTATAGTTTTACCACATATTTATCTGTGTGGCCTTATGTAAGATATTGTTTTTGTTTGTGCCACTTTCCAACTTCATATAAATGTAATGGTAGTGTATGTATTCTGTGACTTGCTTCTCTTGTTCAACAACATGCTTCGAGATTCGTGCATTTTGTACATGTTACCTGAGTTCTTTTTATTACTATGCAGTATTCCCTCATATGACTCTAGTGTCTCAGATGTATTTATCCATTCTAGTGTTGATGGACATTTGAGAATCAACTTTTTTTTTTTTTTTTTTGCTTCTCTGCTGGCTCAGATGGTAAAGAATCCGCCTGCAATGAGGGTTTGATCACACTGGGTTCAACTTGGGTTTGACCGCTGGGTTGGGACGATCCCCTGGAGAAGGGAACAACTACCCACTCCAGTATTCTGGCCTGGAGAATTCCATGGACAGAGGAGCCTGGCAGGCTGCAGTCCATGGGGTTGCAAAGAGTTGGACACGACTGAGTGACTTTCAGTTTCATTTTTTTGCTTTTTCAAACCATACTGCATTCTTGCATTCATGTGTTCTCATCTACTTGTGCAGAGATTCTCCAGGGCACACACCAAAACAGTAGTGTGGCCGTACTGGTTCACAACTGCTGTTACCCCACAACCTCACCACCCCTTGCTATTGTTCTACTTCCTAATGTTTTGTGCATTTACCTACTACCAATGAGGATGAGAATCTTTTCACATGATTAAGGGGCTACTCCTGTTTAATCTTCTGTGAAATGTCTTGTTTAAATTTTTTATCCATTTTCTATGTTTTGTGGGGTAATTTTCTTACTGATTTATAGTCGCACTATATTTTCTGTATGCTAATCCTTTGTCAGATGTATACATACTACAAATAATTTCTCCCAGTTTGGGGCTTGTGTTTTCTTCCTCCTTATGGTGTCCTGATGGACAGAAATTCTTGGTTTTAATGAAGTCAAATTTATCAACCTTACTCAAGCTTATTAATATATTCTCCTATATTATCTCTTTGATACGCTCCACATTTACCTTTCATCATTTAAGCGCTAGGTTAGGAGGATGCTGAGTGTGGGGGAATAGTGAGGAACCCAGTATGCCTGGAGCAGAGGGAATAGGGGAGGAGGAGCGAACGGTGAAGCAGAGAAGTAGGCAGAGCAACATCACATGGGCTTTGAAAGGAAGGGCTCCTACTCTGAGTAAAATGAGGAGCTGGGATGGAGGATTCTGAGCAGAGCGACATGATCTGACTTATGTTTCAAAAGGTTCCTTGTGGCTGCTGTTCACAGAATAGATTTAAGGAGGGACAAGGGAGGAAATAGGAGACCAACTGAAGGACTATGGCTGTAGTCCAGGCGGGAGAACATAGTGGCTTGGAGCAGGTAGCAGGTAACAGGGATGATGAAAAGAGATCAAAGCCTGGCTCTGTTTTGAAGGTGGAGGTGACAGGTTTCCTCATCGACCTGATGTAGTTGTGAGAGAAAAGGAAGGAGCAAGGGTTTGGGCCTGAGCAACTGAAAGAATGGAGTTGCTGCTAATTGAAACAGGAAAGACTGCAGAAGGAGCAGGTTTTGTGTGGAATGTTAGTTTTTGACATGTGAAGACTGAGATGCCTGCTAGATATGCAAGACTGAGATGCCTGCTAGATAGGATCTTAAGTGAGCACTTTAATGTCAATTCTTGCCTGGAGAGTTCCATGGACAGAGGAGCCTGGCAGGTTACAGTCCATGGGGTAGCAAAGAGTTGGACCCGACTGAGCGACTAACACTTTTTCAAGTTCAGTTGATGTCAATTGCGGATTCAAGAGAAAAGGCTCTGGCTGGTAATAAAAATTTGAAGGTTGTTAGCATAGAGGTGAAATACAAAGTCCTTAGAATGAGGACTTCCCTGGTGGTCCAGTGGTTAATTCTGCACTTCCAATGCCAGGGACATGGGTTCAACCCCCAGTCAGGGAACTCAAGATCCTACAAGCTTGCAGCATAGCCAAATAATAATCTTTTTAAAAAATCCTTAGACTGGATTGGATCACCCAGGGAGTAAATGAGTTTGTGAAAGAAAAGAAGGATAAAGATTGGGCAGTGGGGCCTTCCTACATTTAGTGACAGGAAATGAGGAAGAACCTGAAAAAGAGTCTTTGGAGGAGTAGCCAAAAAGAGGAAATCCATATAGGAGGTAAACATATTTCAAGGAGAAGTCAGTCATCAACTGAGTTAAAACAACTGGAAAGCATTTACAAACTGCAATCAGTCAGCACATGTTGAGCACCCACTGGGAGTCAGACACTAGTGATTAAAAGAATGAATAAGCTGGAAAGCCAGGGCCCCAGGCCTCCAGGAGCTCTCAGCATTGTAGTGGGGACAGGTATGTATTCAAATGGGCATCGGGACTATGTAAAGGAGCAGGACACCCGCTCGGCCAGGTACAGCCCTGGTACAGAAGCACAGAGGAGGGGAGTAAACTCTTGTCCTTTGCCTTCTCCTGGCAGTCTTGTCTACACTCACAATTTCAACTCCCCACCATGACTTTTACCTCAAATCTGTATTTCGGTCCAAACATCTCCCCTAGCTTTCATGATATCAAGCGGCCTGCTAAGACCTCTTTACCTGAAAGTTCCACAGTATGTATCTCACACACAATATATCCAGAATGGAATTTATCATTTCCTTTCTTCTCCCTCTTTCCTTGAGACTCTACTTTGCAAGGTATCAAAACACATGATAAAGATATGATTACAAAAATAAGCTAGTCCTAGTATAAATATCCCAGAAACCCAATAATACACAAATAAATGAATACAGTGGATAAAGGAATACATAAATGAATTTCAGTTCAGTTCAGTCACTCAGTCATGTCCGACTCTTTGCAACCCCATGAACCGCAGCACACCAAGCCTCCCTGTCCATCACCAACTCCTGGAGTTTACCCAAACTCATGGCAACCCACTCCAGTATTCTTGCCTGGAAAATCCCATGGATGGAGAAACCTGGGAGGCTACAGTCCATAGGGTCGCAAAGAGTCAGACATGACTGAGTGAAAAGTAGAGGAAGAATATGGAGTGCTGGCTGTTCAGGGCATAAAGACCTGTTATCTGACCCTGCTGCACTTTCCGGACCCATCTCGGTCACCCCTGGCTCACACAGGATGCTCAGCCATTGCCCACTGTGTGTAGTTCCCCCACCCTCTACACCGTTTCTCACTTCCACACCTTTGCCCTTCCTGACCTGCCCCACCCCCCATCCTGTTCCCAGTTTGTCCTCTTTTAGGAATCCTTCCCTGACTTCTCCTCCCACCATGGCCTCAGTGAGGGGCCCATCCTAGTTGTTTTCAAAATAGCCAAGGCACAGTTGTACTGAAGGATACAGGGATCAACGGTTACGTTTCTGCACTTTTCTCCTGTTGCCTTGGCAACACCCACCACGGTGCCTAGTTTGTGCTGGATCTCGGTGAATGCTTGGTCACCCCTCATCAGCCCCTCTGCTCTCTTTGCAGGCTCAGACAAGAGTCAGGGCATGTTGGCCTTGGCCATCAGTCCCAATCGGCGCTACCTCGCTATCTCAGAGACCGTGCAAGATAAACCTGTCATCACCATTTATGAACTGTCAGCCATCCCCTGCCGGAAGCGCAAAATCCTTAATAATTTTGACTTTCCAGTTCAGAAGTTTATTTGCATAGCTTTTTCTCCAGACTCCAAATACCTCTTGACTCAGACCTCACCTCCAGAATCAAACCTTGTCTATTGGCTGTGGGAAAAACAGAAAGTCATGGCCATTGTTAGAATCGACACTCAGAACAATGCTGTCTACCAGGTACTGCCCGAAATAACAAATATTATGCAAATTATTAAAAAATAGTACAAGTTGTCTCTCATTGAATGCTTTCTATGTGCCAGGGATAGTGCTGATTTCTTAAAATGCATTTTGAAATTTGCCACACAACACCATATAAAGTATACATAATTGTTGTCTCTGTTTTAAAGATGAAAGAACTGAGGCTGCAATAATTTAACAGGACCAGGACTCCCTGACCCCAGGGCCTGTGTTCTTTATTTTGGCCCAGAACTGCTTGCTGGTCATAAGTCAGGTTCAGAGGCAGTTTGATCAATTTGCTGTCTCTCCCCAGACCTGGCCTCTCCTGGGCAGCATTTCTGGGCAGTGAGAAGACTTAAGGAAGGTGGTGTGAGGTCTTAAATGTTTAGGAAGCTATCCGTGAAATTGCAGTTATGTGAGGAGCAGAAGTTTCTATTGTGCTTTGAGGGTGAAATGCAGAGGACGTGTCAGGAGGCTGGCTGGGTCCCAAGGAGGTTTTGCTTGGAGCAGTCAACCTGGTCTGAGATCTAGTGCTCAGTGTCACAGGGCCACACGCTCAGTTCTGTTCAGATTCGGAGATACTGGCTAATCAGCATCTTGGGCACAGACTCTGTTATTCTCACAAGAGGCTGGCGTGTGAACCAGCATGCCACAACCAGAACACACATCATCTATCCGGTGTATTTCCTCCCTTGAGAAATGAAATTGTTAATCAACACGTTGCTTGGTGATTACAGAATCAGAGCAGAGACAAGTAGAGCCTGAAGATTACTTCATCCAGGTCATAGTGAGGCAGGATACAGCATCCTATTCAGAGCAGGGAGCACCTTGTCTCAAACAGATTCAGGAAACATTCGCTGGATGCCTGCTCTGAACCTGCCACTGGGGATACAGAGATGAAAAAGGCATAGCCCCTCCAGGTGCTCACCATCCAGTGGGGGGGACAGATTGCCTGTGACGGCAAATGGGGATGAGGGTAAAGGTAAAGGAGGCCTAATCCCTGACATGTGGCTCCTTCCCCCTGGACAGGTCACATAAACCTGCCTGACCTTCATTTTTCTGTTTTTAGCTGAGGTTTCATTCTATTTTGCTAACACAGAGTTTGGTGATTGTCAAGACCTGCTCATCCTGCTTTTTGGTCTTCATCAGATGACTTTTGAAGGTTTTCTAATTTGACTCATGGACCCTACAAATATAATGGATATAAATCTGTCCTCTTATCAAATATGTCTTAAAATTATATGATTTAGTGATGTTTAAAGGATCCTGTGAACTACTTGGACTAACTAATAATTAGTTAAATGGGAAATAATTTCACGTTTAGTTTTATGTCTCTTTTTCTTTCATTCTTTCATATTTTACAGGTGAGCTTCAATCCCCAGGATAACACTCAGATTTGTGTCACTGGAAATGGGATGTTTAAGCTTCTCCGTTTTGCTGAGGGAACCCTGAAGCAAACTAATTTTCAGAGGGGAGAACCCCAAAACTATCTTGCCCACACCTGGGTGTCTGATGACAAGATTATTGCTGGCACTGATACGGGCAGACTCTTCCTCTTTGAATCTGGAGATCAACGCTGGGAGACAAGTATCGTGGTCAAGGAGCCCACCAGCGAGACAAAGAACCTGGGGATGATCCAGGAATCAGAGAGGTAACAATGCCCTCTGGGCTGGAGCTCTTAGAAAAACACACTCATCTTGCCAATAGCATCACCCCTAAAACAGCATTCTTTAAAAATCATTCCCTTATCTTTTCTAGTGTTCATCCATATTCAGGGTCAAATTTGATGTTTATAACCATAACCTAGGTACAACTATTTTTATTTTTATACCTCACCTCATTTTATAAGTGTTTCCCTGGTGGCTCAGATGGTAAAGAACCCATCTGCAATGCGGGAGACCCAGGTTCGATCCTGAGTTGGGAAGATCCCCTGGAGAAGGGAATGACTACCCACTCCAGGATCCTTGCCTGGAGAATTCCATGGACAGAGGAGCCTTGTGGGCTAGAGTCCATGAGGGTCACAAAAAGTCAGACACAACTAAACAACTAACAGTTTCACAGACTGGTATGACTTAGTCTTCAAAACTACCTATTTTCAAAAATATGTTTTCTCCTGGCTTCCCAGTTTACTAAATCAATTAAATAGATGTCCACCAAGCCTTTGCAATGTGCAAGGCATCTTGCTAAATGCTGGGGACACAGGTCCTCAGGACCTTATAATTTGATAGGAAGCAGCAGACTAATAAGGAAATACAAGAAAATGTCAGTCAGTATGACAGAAGTCTATGGACCAGAGTAGGGGCTCAGGATGAAGCTGTCAATTTTACCTCTACTGCAGCCAATAATAGTCATATCTCACTCATATTGGACAGTACCACTGTGTGGTCTAGACACTGCCTTAAACACTCTGTATATAACCTCATTTCAGCCTTACTCACCCTACATCGTACATATTATTATCCCACCCATATTGCAGACTCTAAGAGGTTAAATGCCTCACCCGAGCTCACAGCACTGTTAAGTAACAGGCCAGGATTCAAAGCCAGATGTCTGATCCCAATACCTGAGCCCGCAATCAAAACGGCACCCTGTAGATTCCTCTTCCTCAATATCTTTGGGTTCACCCATTTGTACCACCCCCATGCCAATGACATCTCCTTTTTGTCATGATTATGTTGAGAACTTTCTAATAAGGCCATTTCCCTCCAGTTTGCTGTGTTCACCATCTTTCAGTGAGTCCAGGACTCCAAGAATAAAGCTCAGACTCCTGAACTTGGCCCACATGTCCCTGCTACTCTGACCCTTCTCTATATCTGCCGCATCAGCTCTTGCCTCTGTCTACTGCATATCCCTCATGCACTCTCCTACTTCTGGGCTTAGTCTGCCCCTACACCGACCCCACTCCCCTGGACACTGCCACAGCCCTCTTTGTCCTTCCAGTCTCAGCTGGGAGCCCCCAGCCTCTGCTCATCTTAGATAGCTGTTCTTCCTCTATATCTGTTCTTAGATGTTCTTTTTAGCTGATAATCGGCCAATGCCATCCTACTCAGCAGTCCCTGACAGTTCTTATCATACACCCCCTAGACCATCAGCTTAGGAACTGGGTCAACTTATTTATCATTGTTTCACATAGTCATTAACACAACATAACTCTGGTAAATGTCATATGAGTGAATGAGTGAATGCAAATATGCATAAATGAATGAAAGAGAAAGAAGGGAAGGGGAGGAAGAAGAAAAGGAAGAAAGGAAAGAAAGGGAAAGGGATGGAAGGGAGGGAAGGAAGCGGAAACCTGGATTTAAATCTCAGCTCTTCCCCTTACTAATTGTGTGATCTTGGAAACAACCCCTCTGAGCCACTTTTTTCTAAACAACAAAATGAGTATGATAATAAAAACAGTGACCACAGAGGATTGCAAGATTTCCATATAAGTGTATAACCTTCCATCTCCCATGGAGTGCCAGTAGCACTCCCAGCCAAAGGGGCACATTCAGGCCATGGGCAGGGGGCTCACACTGAGTAGTTTCTCCCATGTGCATGCATGCTAAGTTGCTTCACTTGTGTCCAACTCTTTGCACACTACTGACTGTAGCCTGCCAGGCTCCTCTGTCCATGGGATTCTCTGGGCAAGAATACTGGAGTGGGTTGCCATGCTCTTCTCCAGGGGATCTTCCTGACCCAGGAATGGAACATGGGTCTCCCACATTGCAGGCAGGTTCTTTACCATCTGAGCCACGCTCCCACACCCAAGGACAGCCCTCCTTTCTCATCCCTGGCACAGTTCATCTCCTTGGAATGGTCTCTGTTATCTGCGTGTGCTATTTTCTTTTCCAGCCTGATCGAATTTCCAGCAGCCTCTTCCCCAGTCCCTTCCTACGAGCAGGTCATGATGACCAGCAGCCACAGCCAGCTCTCGCTGCCCCAGGTGTTTGCCATCGCAGCCTATTCAAAGGGATTTGCCTGTTCTGCTGGGCCAGGGAGAGTTCTGCTGTTTGAGAAGATGGAAGACAAGGAGTTTTACCGTGAGAGCAGGGAGATCCGGGTAAGGAGGGGAGGAAGCAGCAATGCTGGGGTCCAACTGGCATCTGTTCTCCAGGAGCAGGGCACTGACACAGCGTTTGATGCAGGGAAAGGGGCTGAGTGCAGAGCACAAAGGGACTCGAGCCATCTGTCCTGAGGGGAGTTTTAGGATGGACTGGACAGAGTTGCTCCCTATAGAAATAGGGAGCTCTGGATCTGAATCCTGGGAGAGAACTTGGGTAAATTGTCTTCTTTTCGAGTTTATAATGTATATGGATATTTTAACATCAAGAACACCACCTGGTGTGGGACTTCTCTGGTAGTCCAGTTGCAAGTCTCTGCACTTCCAATACAGGGGACCTCGCTTCTAGATCCTCGGTCAGGGAACTAGATCCCACTTGCCACAACTAAGAGTTTGCATGCTACAGCTGAGATCTCATGTGCCACAACTAAGACCCGGCGCAGCCAAATAAGTAAATAAATATCTTTAAAAAAAAAAAAAAGAAAGAAAAGAAAACTACCTGGGCTTCCCTAGTGGCTCAGAGGATAAAGCGTCTGCCTGCAATGCAGGAGACCTGGGTTCGATCCCTGGGTCGGGAAGATCCCCTGGAGAAGGAAAAGGCAACCCACTCCAGTACTCTTGCCTGGAAAATCCCATGGACGGAGAAGCCTGGTAGGCAACAGTCCATGGGGTCGCAAAGAGTCAGACATGACTGAGCGACTTCACTTTCATTTTCACCTGGTATGCAGGAGGCATTCAGCAAATCTTTGGGGAAGAAATGATACAGACCTCTGCAGAGAGAGATTTCACCTGGTTGGGAAAGAACCAGGAAGGTTTCAGAGTGTTTGGAGGTCATCTTTGAAGAAGGGTTGCAGAGGATGGATAACATTCGACAGGAAGGCACAGATCAGGAAGTCCAGGTGAAGGGAAGAAATTAATCAAACGTACCGCTGACAGGGAGCAGTGGTGTGTTTGAGAGATATCTATTCCCCAGTGGAGGGGCCTTAAGTCACTGAAGGGAACGAGAGGACTAAGGCTGGTAAAAAGATGGCAAACGCCAGCGTGAGACTGAGTATGTAAACGGCCAAGGCATCCTGTTTTCAGCGGAGATGGTTTCCTGGCTGAGTGACTTCGCATGAGTTGCTGAACGTAGCAAACCTGTGTCTCTTCATTAAGGAAACAGCTCACCCTGGTGGTTATCAAAAGGATTACACATCTGTGTGATCACTGGATGCAGTTCAGTTCAGTTCAGTCGCTCAGTTGTGTCCAACTCTGCAACCCCATGGACTGCATGCAGCACACCAGGCTTCTTTGTCCATCACTAACTCCCGGAGTTTACTCAAACTCATGTCCATCACTTTGGTGATGCCATCCAACCATCCCATCTTCTGTTGTCCCCTTTTCCTCCCACCTTCAATCTTTCCCAGCATCAGGGTCTTTCCCAATGAGTCAGCTCTTCACATCAGGTGGGCAAAGTATTGGAGCTTCAGCTTCAGCATCAGTCCTTCCAATGAATAGTCAGGATTGATTTCCTTTAGGATTAACTGGTTGGATCTCCTTGCAGTCCAAGGGACTCTCAAGAGTCTTCTCCAACACCACAGTTCAAGAGCATCAATTCTTCAGTGCTCAGCTTTCTTTATAGTCCAACTCACATCCATACATGACACTGGAAAAACCATAGCTTTGACTAGATAGACCTTTATTGGTAAAGTCATGTCTCTGCTTCTTAATATGTTGTCTAGGTCATAGCTTTTCTTCCAAGGAGCAAGCGTCTTTTAATTTCATGGCTGCAGTCACCATCTGCAGTGATTTTGGAGCCCCCAAAAATAAAATCTCTCACAGTTTCCATTGTTTTTCCCTATCTGTTTGCCATGAAGTGATGGGACTGGATGCCATGATCTTAGTTTTTTGAATTCTGAGTTTTAAGCCAACTTTTTCACTCTCCTCTTTCACTTTCATCAAGAGGCTCTTTAGTTCTTCACTTTCTGACATAAGGGAGGTGTCATCTGCATATCTGATGCAGTGCCTGTGCTCAATAAATAATACTAGTTATTCTTGCAGTTAGGAATTAGTCCTGAGGTTTTTTGTTACTGGAGCCAAAAGGCAGTGAGGTCTAGGATCACAGCAGTGGGAAGCAGAGAGAGCCTTCGTGAAGGTTAAGTCTGTAGGACATCCCCTGAGTAGATGCCAGAGCCCAGAGATAAGGAACTCTCAGGGAGGTTACCCAGGCTCAGATCAGGATGCTGGGAAAGGACGCCAGGAAATAGGGGTTAAGAGCAAGGTGGGTGGGCACTCGGGGGAGTTGGTAAGTTTATTTTGACTGTAAAGCAGTTCATTCTTTTGTGTGTTCATTTATTTAACAAATATTTATTGAGTGTTTGCTATGTGTCAGGCTCTATGCTCGGGGCTGGGACATAGATGAGAAGTAACCACATTGAGACTTGTCCTTAGGGTTCAATCAACTAGCAAACAAACAGACATAAACAGATTGTTGGATGAGATCAATCCTATGAGGAAAATGCAGCCGGGAAAGAACAGGGAGTAAGAGGGGCTTCTGTTCTAGAAAAAGTGGCTGGGGGAGGCCCCCCTGAGGAATGTTGACACTTGACCAGAGACAAGGATAAAGTGAAGCAGTTTGAAACGTGGTTTAGACCTTGGGAGTGAGATCACTCACAATATATCCATGGCACATACACACTCACACACCGGCTCACACACACACACATATGCACACACATACTCATGTACACAGCCATTGTGCTTGGCTTCTATCGAGCACATAGGTGATGCTTAATTTTCACTGTTTTAAGTATTTATTATTGTAATTACTCTTGTTTTCAGGCTTCCCTTGTGGCTCATCTGGCTCCACTGTGGCCCACAGTGCGGGAGACCTGGGTTCAGTCCCTGGGATGGGAAGATCCCCTGGAGGAGGGAAAGTCTACCCACTCCAGTATTCGGGCCTGGAGAATTCCATGGACTGTGTAGTCCATGGGGCCACAAAGAGTCAGACACAACTGAGCGACTCGCACTTTCACTGTTGTTTTCATTGGATCCTTGTGTTAGGTAAAATCATTGAGAGAGAAAATATAGAGTCAAAAAGAGGACTGAGGACAAAACTTAGCATTTCCCAATTTCAAGACTGAAACAGGATGAGAGCCCAGCAGGACACTGAGAAGGCGAGGTCGTCCACTCATTCAGTCAACAAGTGTCTGTCGGTCACCTGTCGGGGCCAGGCTCCGGGGTGGGGCCTGCGGTGGGCACATCGGATGTGGCCTTCCCCCATGGGCCTCAATGTCTGGGGGAGGGAACGAGGCCACACCATGCAGTCCCTGAGTGCCTGCCATGGGCCAGGCCCTGCTCCAAGCAGCAGGGGACACAGTGTGAACAGACCAGGTCCCGGCCCGCAGGCTCCTGTTCCACTTTATGCAGTGTGACACCTGGGACAACAGAGGGAAGCCCTGGGTGCTGTGGGCGCATTGAGGGACCGCCAGGGCCCACTCAGCCCAGGGCGGTCAGGGAAGGCTGCCCAGAGCCCTCGCTCCCCAGAGAGAGCCGAGGGAGTAGACTCCATGAGGACGGGATAGGAGGTGCCAAGGAAGACAACGCCACGCAGTGGGAGGGCAGCTCAAGAGTCCAGGGTGTTCAGGGGAGGAAGGTGCCAAGGTCACTGCTGCAGGCTCTAGGAAAGCCCAGAAGATGAGGGCTGAGCTGGGCATTGGGCTTTGGTGATAAGGAAATTTCTGATGTTCAGGAGGACAGTTTCAGTAAATGAGGCAGTGGAAGCCACGTTATAAGGGATTAAGAACTGAGTGGGTAATGAGGATGCAAAGGTGGTATATGCAGACCAGTTTTCAGTAAGTTTGGTTGTTCATGGAAGGAGAGGAAAAACAGGCAGAAGGAAACATCATTTAATAATGTCCACTGGGAACTCCAGGCCCCCTGAGACTGCTGAAGGAGCTGCAGGACCCCTCCTCTTCTCTCTGCCCTGTCACCCACCCCCTGTGATAGAAAGGCCTCAACCTTCCCCTCCGCTGCCCTGAAGCGCACTGTGTACCTAGTGCAGGTAGGTGCCTGCACGGAGCTCCCACCCGCGGGGCGAGAGTGGGGGCCAGACTCAAACAGATGTACAGGTGGGTCAGTTCCACCTGTGCCGCTGCCTCGTTATTCAGCCACCAGTCACTTAAAGGTGAGTAGGAAACCCACAGAAACTGAAACACCTCCAACCCTCCCTCTCCACATCTGAGGAGCATCCAGGAAGCAGGCTGATCAGGAGAAGTAAGCTGCAAGTATCCGAGAGCATCTGAAAGTCCAGGACACCTGACAGCGCAGAGGCCTGCTGACCGCTGTCCTGTGTCTTGCGCAGATTCCTGTGGATCCACAGAGCAATGACCCAAGTCAGTCGGACAAACAGGACGTGCTCTGCATGTGCTTCAGCCCCTCTGAGGAAACGCTGATCGCCAGCACCAGCAAGAGCCAGCTCTACAGCGTCACCATGTCCCTGACGGAGATCAGCAAGGTGAGTCTTGCCAGCAGTGCTTCCTGCCAGCCGGGGGACGGATCACCACTAGGCAGATTTTAATCCAGTTCCTGAGCATAGGCCCATTCACCCCTTTGTAACAAAGCGAAAGAAACTAATTTCAAAATGTCCTTGTAGGAGCACTCCAATACCCTCAGGGGGCCGGGGTGGGGGACACCAGAATCTGATTGTTGTAGCCTCTTTGGATGGCATCACCGACTCAATGGACATGAGTTTGAGCAAGCTCCGGGAGTTGGTGATGGACAGGGAAGCCTGGCATGCTGCAGTCCATGGCGTCGCAAAGAGTCAGACACGACTGAGTGACTGAACTGAGCCTCTTTGAAGAACACCATGGAGGTCTCTCGGATTTAAATTGTACCTATCTTTTCCTCAGCAAGCAAATGTACTTCAGGTATTTAATAGACTGCAGTACTTTATGCAGTCCTGTGCACAGAGATGTTTATGTGTAAAAGTTTATCATTGCTTTTGTTTTTAAATAATAAAGAAAGCCAGTATGAATACACTGTAGATATTGTGGCAAAACGGATAAAAAAGAAGCACTTTGTACTTATAAAAGGTTCACTTTATCAAGCAGACATTACTGTTTTAAATTTGTATGCAGCAAATAGCATGGACTCAAAATATAGCCTTCAAACTTTGGCAGAACAACAAGGAAAATAAACCACCTACAATCACAGGAGGTTTTAATATATTTTTCTCAGCAATGATGGTTTTTAAAATAATAACCCTATCAAGTTATTTGTACACTATACAATTCACCTACTTAAAATGTACAATTCAATGCTTTTTCGTGCATTCATAGAGTTATGCAGCCATTACCACCATTAATTTAAGAGCATTTCTTCACTAAAAAAAAAAAAAATGCTGTTTAGCTATTATGCTCCCATCATCCCATCTGCCTCCCCCAGCTCTAGCCAGTCACTAATGTCTTGTGTGTCTATAGATTTGCCTTTCCTGAATGTTTCATAACAATATGTAGACTCTTGTGACTGGCTTTCTTCACTTAGCACAATGTTTTCAAGTTTCATTCATGTTCGAGCTTGTGTCAGTACTCCATTCCTTTTCATAACTGAATAATATCCCATTGCATGGATATACCATTTTTGTTGGTCTAATCATCAGTTAATGGACATTTGGGTTGCTTCCACCTTTTGGATATTATAAATACTGCTGCTCTAAACATCTATGTACAAGTTTTTGTGTGGAAATACGTTCTTATTTTTCTTGGATGTGTATCTAGGAGTGAAATTCCTGAGTCAAGTAGTAACTTCATATTTAACCACTGAAGGAACTGCCCGATAGTTTTCCCAAAGTGCTGAACTGTTTTATATTCCTGTCAGCTGTGGACGAGTGTTCTAACCTCTCTGTATTTTTGTCAGCACTTATTCTTATCTGATTTTTAATTTACATTCATAACAGTGGTTGGTCTGTAGTTTTCTTGTGATGCCTTTGTCTGCATTTGGTATTGGGATAATACTAACCTCACAGAATGAAGTGCAGAGATAAGGTGGAAAAGAGAGAGTTGCTTTTGCTTCAACACAGGGGAGATTTGAGTGTATTTAAAAGCTTTTAGGCTAATATGGAAATCATTCTGTCATATGCCCCAGACTAAGACATTTTTATCATTTCACATGGGGGGGACCTCATTCACAAGGACTCAGAAAGGACTGATGATTTGATGGCTGGATCTTCAGTCTGTCCGCTTTCTCCACGTAGGGGGTGAGCTCACTGCATAGAGCTTCTCTCCCGGCTGTTAGGCATGCCTCTCAGAGGGAAGGTTGCCTGGAAAGGAGAGAACCAGACCAGAGAGCGGGATCTTCCGTAGAATGGAATGTTTTCACTCTCTCTCCCAGGGTGTGTAAGTCTCCTGTCTGTCTCCACATGTACACTCTGCCCTTAGGCCCCTGAATTACACTCTGTGCGGCTGCCAGAGTGATCTTTTCAAAACCCAGATGTGGCTGTCACAAAATTCACATTCCACCACCTCCGCCTTTGTCACAGCCTCAACCCCTCAGTGGCCTTCCGGTGCTCTGAGAAGAACCGAACTATGTGCACGGGACTGGGTGATGTCTGGCCCGGGCTGCGCCCTGCAGGCCCATCCCATCACTCCACCTGATAGAACGGGCCCTTTGATCACTAGGAGTCTGCATGTTCCCTCTTCCAAAAGGCATCAGCACTCCTGCCTCTGCCTGGGGCACTCATACTCTCCTCTCCCCCACGTTAGTTCTTGCTCATCCTTCAAGGGGGAAGAAAGCTACTAGGAATGTGCTAGTAGAGACAGGGAGGTTGAAAATATTAGAGAAAGTAAGGGAAGCAGGCAGAGAATGGGAATAATCTGTGCCTACCCCCTGTTGGCTCAGACAGTAAAGAATCTGCCTGCTATGTGGGAGACCTAGGTTTGATCCCTGGGTCTAGAAGATTCCCCTGGAGAAGGAAATGTCTACCCACTCCAGTATTCTTGCCTAGGAAATCCCGTGGACAGAGGAGCCTGTCAGGCTACAGTCCATGGAGATGACAGAGAGTTGGACACAACTGAGTGACTTTCACTTTCACTTTCCACCCCCTCTTTCTGACAGCCCAGCAGCTCTTTCTGATATAGCAGAAGTGGGTAGAATAGATGCAGGTAGTTTCTAAGTGGGGAAGGGTCTGAATTTGAGGGAATTGCCAGCTCAGCCTTTGTCTTGTCTTGTGAGCAAAGTGTATACACCTCATTGAGTTTCCCAATTATCACTCCTCATGCAGAAGTCCCAGGTATAATGCTTCTGATGACAAACACCTAAAATCTACAGAACATGCAGACCTGTGCAATAGGATACATTTTAACTTAAAATCATTCACCCAGTTCTCTTAGCTGCAGCTGATGGAGTCATACAGTCTCTCTGCAGAGAAATTTGGGAGTACCCATTAAGATCCTTAACACTGTTCAGACCATTTTGCCCTGTATTCCATTTCTAGAAAGGTATCTGTTGTGTGGGGCCCAACCTATTCGTAGTGAAGCCATCAGCTAGGAATGCTGGAGGCACTCACCCGCAGCTGCATATCTCCCAGCAAGCCCGACACACACTTGCCCCACCGGGCCAGTGCTGGGGCCAGACAGACCCTTTTGGTTCTTATTACAGTTGAAGGATACACTTGAGCAAAATCCATCAGGGAACTTTGAGGAACAAGATTTCTTACTCACAGGTCCTGGAGATTACATAGTATGCCCAAGGGCCATATTCTGTGAGGCCATGGGTAAAGAGAGAGGCAAACCCTGCCTTTATCAGGGTTTGGGGGTGGGGTGTCAGAGTTTCGAGAGTTCACTATTTTTTTAATGGTCATTTAGCCATGAGTGTGGGAATTAGGGTACAGGAAGAGTGGGATCATTCAAGAAGTCAGTTAATTAAGTATCCAGGGCTTTCTACAAAAGGGATCCTCAAGGGTGGGGGCAATAATTCTTTAGCTGGTTGTTTTGCTGGTAACTGTGTCATACAACTGCAATATGTTTATTCAAGCTGGAGGTCCTTTGAAATAGATGCCTTGAGACTCAAAAACTTACTGTCAGGCACTTACTCTACAATATCTAAAGAATTAATCAGAGAGGTACACAGGCTTACTTGCAAGAATACTTAGTCCATGTTACCCCTTGATAGCAAAAAATTGGAGACCACCTAAATGTTCCCACAGTAGAAGAATGGATAAATTAAATCCTGGTATATTTATAGGATAAAATATTTTATTGCCATTAAAATGTTTTAAAATAATAATAGCATGGGAAAATATGCATTATGTTAAAGCAAGTTGCCCACAGTCTGATTTCTGTGCATCTGGGCTAATTAACATCCATAAGCAGTAACGAGAGCTGCAGTGCCTGGCCAGTCTTTTGCTTCCTCTGCTCAGTCTGATTCTGTGTGATTTCTCCAGGGGGAGCCTGCCCACTTTGAGTATCTGATGTACCCGTTACACTCGGCATCCATCACTGGTCTAGATACTTGCATCCGCAAACCCCTCATTGCCACCTGCTCTATAGATCGGTCGGTCCGCATCTGGAATTATGAATCAAAGTAAGAAATGAAAGGCTTTGCTACTGGGGTATGCAGGATTTTGGTTGTTAAATTTTTCCATGCAACTTATTTTAGAGATTTTTCCATTTTAATTACTTAGAAGCTTTCAGCTGGAAACCTTTTATAAAAAAATCAAGTCCGTCAGACTTCCTTTTTCTCTTTTCACTCTTACATAAGCTAGAAAATCACTTTGTCCTTTATTAAGTGTTTACTATGTGCCATACACTATGCTTGGCCCTGGGGACATAAACCAATATCTCACCTCCTTCCATACTCTCCTGTGTCCTTCAACCTTTCCTGTCCTCTCGCCTTCCCCACACCCCCCCCCACCTCCGCCACCCTCACTGGATCAGTTCTTTGTTCCATGGAGCTCTCCAGATCATTGTTTCCTCCTTTCAATCCTAATCACTGCCCCAACAACCCTCAACTTCCAATGATTTTATCCTCCGGGCCCAGCTTCCCTAAGAATCTCCAGCCCAGATTAGCCCCAGAATATAACTTTTTGCTTTTACATATAGCTGCTGGGGCTGCTAGGGAAAGAATTGTGCAATACTTCTGAGTTGGAGATCTGAATGGAGTTGTGTCTTCAACATCCCTAAACACCCCTTGATCAGTCCCTTCACATGTTATACTCATTGCTGAACACTGTCCTCAAGTAACCAAGATCTAGAAAAAGAGGCACCAATAATTACAAGTAATAAAGTATCTCAAATGCTGCTATAAAAATACATACCAGATACAATGGAATGCTCAAGGGACTTAGTGGGCTAGACTTGTATTCAGTAATGTATCTTTTTCACAGTTCTTTGGAGCTATTTAAGGAATACCAAGAAGAAGCTTATACAATCAGCCTTCACCCATCTGGACACTACATTGTGGTAGGGTTTGCTGACAAACTACGCATTATGAATCTACTTATTGATGATATACGTTCTTTCAAAGAATACTCTGTCAGAGGGTGCAAAGAGGTAAGAACTTCTGGAGGTAAGTATCTTGGAAAGTCAGAGTTGAAGTATCACGAACTAACACAGCTGAAGAGGTAGACCAAAGAATGTCTTAGAGCATTTTAGCGGCTTAAAAAAATCCAATTTTTCCACCAAAGTTACTGAGTATATTGGTCCTATCCCTTTTCTTCTTTGCCCACCAGAGTATATCTTTGAACCAAACTGTGTGAGATCCCACCTGCAATCTGTCCTCTCTGTGACTATGGAGTAATTTTTTTTAAGCATTGAAAAGAAAGTTATCACATATTCAGAGTCACAGTTGGGAGGACAGGGTTGACAATTGGGAGGGATCAGGGAAAATGAGCAACGGTAAAAGACAGTAGCAGCCTATCTGATTTCCCCCATCCCCATCCTGAAGATGACTCACAGAAACAAGACAGAGCTTTAAAGAATCACTTTCCCACTCTGAAACTTCTTCTACAGGCAAAATGAGTATTCCACTCTGTGATCCAGCTTCATGATTCATGTACATGGTGGTGTCAGCATCTTGGCCAGTATGAGCTATAGGAATAGTGACATCAAATAGGCCAATTCTGAGTCCTATTTACACCTTCCCCAATTCCCAGTCCTACACACGGTGTCAGCATGAACTCTTTCAGAAAAGAAGCTGTCGACTACAACCTCCAGGTAAACTACTCTTTCTTTCACTCTTGCTCTCTCCCTGTATTTCCTTGCAGTGTTCCTTTAGCAATGGAGGTCACCTGTTTGCTGCAGTCAATGGGAACGTGATTCACATTTTTTCCACCACAAGCCTAGAGAATATCTCAAACCTGAAAGGACACACAGGGAAGGTAAGTGAGTGAGCAGTGTCCAGGGAAACAAGGGCACAGAGTCAAACATCATGCTGGCCAATGGGGATATAAGAGAACAAAAGAGAAGTGATTCTTTTCTTCTCGGGGGTCCCTGTCTAGTTGAGAGAAGAGACAATAAAACAAATGCACATACAGATTTAAGTACTAACTGCAGAAAACTCAATGAAAGAAAAATATGGGTTGTTAGAAGAGGAAGTGATGAGGAGTTGACATGATGGAGATTGGGATGTTCACAAAGGCATGGTCCTAAGGAGTGAGTCAGAATTAACCAGACAGACCTAATAGGTCAAATCATTGACCAAAGACCCTGAGATGGAGATTGCTAGGGGTAGAGGAGGAACTATCTGTGGTACTGAAACATAGGTATCAGGAATAAAACTTGGCATGAGCTGAGATTGGTGAGGTTCACAGGGCCTGAGTTCTTGAAATCTTGTTCATGGAAACTTACAGGCCCTGGTAGCTCAGCTCGTAAAGAATTCACCTGCAATGCAGGAGACCCCAGTTCCATTCCTGGGTTGGGAAGATCTCCTCAAGAAGGGATAGGCTACCCACCTCCAGTATTCTTGGGCTTCCCTGGTGGCTAAGTCGGTAAAGAATCATCTGCAATGCAGGACCCCTAGATTGGGAAGATCCCCTGGAGGAGGGCATGGCAACCTATTCCAGTATTCTTGCCTGGAGAATCCCCATGGACCAAGGAGCCTGGCGGGTTTATAATCAGTGGGATCACAAAAGAGTCAGACACCACTGAGCGACTAAGCACAGCACATACTTTATCCTCCTTTTTCCTTGAAATCACTGAAGACTTTCAGGCCAAGAAATGATATGACCATATTTGCATTTTACAAGATTACTTTGGCTGCAGAGTAAAGATTGTATTGAAAGGGATGAGGGTAGAAGTGGTAAAGAGATTGTTGTCTACATGATGATAGTATTTTGGAGCAGGATGGAGCTGGTACCAATAGGAAGAAATGTATGCATTCAAAAGATATTTAGGAAGTTCAACCAGTAGTACCTAAAGGTAAAGTGGATGTGGAGCGTGAAGAAAATGGAGACGCCAAAGACTGAAAGGGTAAGAAGTCAGCAGATGAATTTAGATAGAAAAAGCAGTGGGAAAAGAAAGGTATTTTAGGCAGCAGCATGTGTCACAGGTGAGGGAATGGGAGTATAGAACAGGACGGTGGTTTGTGGTTTATAGGCTGGAACACTGAGCACATCTGAGAAGTGATACAGAGATGAGCTGGAGAAGTTTGTTGCATCATGGAGTGTGTGTGTGCCATGCCAAGGAATTGGACATTAGTCTGTAGGTGATGAGAAATTACTGGAAGGATTTAAGAAAACAAGTAATGGGATTAGATAGATAATTTTCCAGACAGTATTGAAAATGGTTTAGAGGGAAGGGAAGCTGGAGTGAAAGAGGTCAGCTAGAAAGTGAGGGTGAGAGAGGAGCTAGGAACTAAACCATGGCTTTCATAGTAGGGACAGAGAGAAGAAAGCTATTAAGCTCCATTTTGGACATGTTGTTTTCTGTGTCCAGGAGTGTGGTATGTGAGAGTAGAACTCAGAAAGAAGTCTGGGCTAAACATTCCAATTCAGGGAATTAGGTGGTAGTTAGTGGAAGTCAGAGGCATAGATCAGATCACTAAGCACTCGTGCAGAATCTGAGATCTTGGTCAGGAGACAGGTGACCAACATGTAAGGAACTGGTAAAGAGAGAGACTGCAAATGAAGGTTCAGAGAGAACCTGGAATCAAGGAATGGTATCAAAGAAGCCATGGAACTAGTTTGCAGACAGTAAAGAAGTCAGTGACCATTGACTTCAGCAACTTACAGATCATAAGTGTAAGTGCTGTTACGCACAAGGGTATTGAGAGCTACTGAGCTTCCTCCACTCCAGCAGTGTGATTGCAGAGACGTAGAGGAAAGCACAGCAGGGGAATGTGATGCTCTTTCTAGAACCAGGCACATCCCCATAGGAAGCCCTGCCTCCCCAGCCCAGGGGAGCAGCCATTTTTTCCATCACTTTACCAGAATTTATAGCACTTGTCTCTAATCAGGGATATATGTTAGGTTTACAGGTGTACTATTTAAAGAAAATACAAAAACAAACAAAAAATATAGATGGAGCATACAGCTAAAACCATGTGTATAGGGAAATTTTTAACATTAAACATGTATTGGAAAAATGACAAAGATGAAAATCAGTGATACAACCATCCATTGAAAAAGGTAAGAAGTAGAACAGCAAATTAATTCAAAGAGAACGAATTGAAGGACATCATAAGGATAAGAGCAGGATGGAACAGCGAACATTTACACAGTAGAAGATCATCAAAGCCAAACTTTGTTTTTTGAAAGCCCAAAGTGGACAAACCTTTAGCGAAATTGTTTAAGGGAAAAAAGAGAGAGAAGTTATAAGTAACCAACATGAGTAACAAAAAGGGGGTAACAAAAAGGGGTTATCACTACAGGTCCGATAGATATTTTAAAAGATTATAAGAGAGTATTATGAGCAACTTTATGTAAATAAATTTGAATAAATAGATGAACTGACAAATTCCTAGAAAAATTGAATCTTTAATTTAAAACCTGACAAAACTATCACTGGAGAAGTATATCGAATTTTAAGGGAAGCATGACACTAATCTTGGGCAGAAAAAAAACTCTTCTAGAAAATTTTTTTTTTTAAGTAAATACTTGCAACATTGTTCTAGGAGGCCAGCATAGTTGTGATACCAAAACCTATCAAAGACATCACAAGAAAGGAAAATGGTAAACCATTCTTTTGTGTGAACATGAAGATGTCCTAAATAAATTTTCATCAAACCAATCCAGCAATATGTTAAAAGGATAATACAACATGTCCATGTTGATTCATTCTAGGAATACAACATTGCTTTAGATTTTGAAATCATTAGTGTATACCACATTAATATAGTAAGGATGAAAAAGCATATGCTTATATCTATAAATCCAAATATAATAATCAATAACATTAACAGTGTATCAGTAACATAACAGATTTAAAAAGTACTTAAAATAATGGGGAATGTACTTTATTATAAAAAATCTTATATAAGACATTTATTTTAAAAGCCTACAACAATCAGCACACTTGATTATGAAATTGTGGAAGACAGAGAACAAAACATGATGCCTTCTGTTAGCCTCGTACTGAGTTCTATCCAGTGCAATAAGGCACGAAATGGAAATATACATTAGTCCATGTGTTGTGCTTAGTCGACCGCTCAGTCATGTCCAGCTCTTTGCGACCTCATTGACTGTAGCCCGCCAGGCTCGTCTGCCCATGAGAATTCTCCAGGGAAGAATACTAGAGTGGGTTGCCATGCCCTCCTCCAGAGGATCTTCCCAACCCAGGGGTCGAACCCAGGTCTCCCACGTTGCAGGCAGATTCTTTACCATCTGAGACACCAGGGAAGCCCAACATTAAGTCCATGGGGCTGCCATAACAAAATAGCCCAGACTGGATGGCTTATGAAGAGCAGAAATTTTTCCTCACAGTTTGGAGGGTGGGGAGTCCAAGATCAAGGGGCCAGCATGATCAGAAGAGGGCCCTCTTCCTGGTTTCAGACTTCCTGTAGCCTCACATGGTGGAAGGAGCGAACTAGCACTCAGGGGCCTTCCCTAAGAGCACTCATCCCATTCATGAGGGGGGCACTCAGGACCTAATCACTTCCCAAAGGCACCACTTCCTAATACCATCACCTTTGGATGTCAGGATTTCAACATATGAATTGAAGTGGGGCTGATGAGAGGAACATTCAGACCATAGCAAAATAAGAGGCATGAAGGTTGGAAAGGAAGAAATAAAGCTATTACCATGGACAGCATAACTGAGTTTGTAGAAAATTTAGAGAATTTGCAGATAAACTGTTAAAATTAGTGAATCTGGAAATATTGTTGGAAATGAATTGATTATATTTAAGTCCATTTTTACATAGTAGTGACAAACAATCAAAAAATGTAATGTAAAAGGTAGAGCTTGGGCTGAGCCATGGCTGAGGATGTGGCTGGTAGGACTGGAGTCGCCACTTAATTAGTCATAGATTATGCTTAAGGCCCCTTCCCCAGTTACATTTTCACCCTTTACTGTTGGATTTTTGTTTAAAAAACAGAAAACTGTGATTTTCCTGTCACGGTTCGTGGAGTTTATGCTTTTGCTCCATGTTTAGCCAGAAACTAGTAGTTTCAAGGTTCCCTCTCTGACTGTACCCGAGAGGGTGCAGCCTCAGCCATGCACACCACCTTCCAGGCTGCCAGGCATAAGCATGATGTGATTTCTAAGCCTGACTTCCTGGGAAATGCCCCTGGGTCAGAAGCTTATTATTCAGTTAGTGTTGGTCAGAGGTTGTGTGTAAACCCTTCATGCCGGTGAGGCTTCCACCCTGTGTCAGTGGGGTTTTGTGCAGCATAGGAGATGCTTTCAAGTGTCCCCAGATCCTGCTCTGATTGCTCCTGAGTGCGTGCAACGGAGCACACACACCAGCCTTCCTGATCCCCACGGTTGTCTCTCATCCCGGAAGGGCTCTCGACCGTCTCCTTCCCTTGTTCTTCCTGCCATAATTCTGTTACTGCTCTGCCATTTTGCTTCTATCAGGGAGTTTCCAGCCTTCTCTTAATTGCCCTCCACCTAGATTTCCACCAATTTAGATGACGCCCGTAGGATGGGATTCTCCACGCTCTGCTCCAAATAAGTCAGTCTCCTTCAGCAGAGCTGTGGAGCTCGTTGTCCCCCTGGGAAGTTCTGCTCTTCCGCACCAGAGCAGGGGTGAGGGGTGGCAACTTTCTTTCCCAAGAGTGACCTCCCTACTCTGTGCGTGGCGCTGGCAGCTGGAAAGGGGGTGGGATCCCTCATTGCTTCAGCTCTCCCCTCATGGTGTAGAACCCCCAGTCATTGAGTTAAGTGGGGCAGGGGCAACTGGGGTACCAGTATTCTCATGTTTCCACACTTGGAGTAGAACTTCCACCAGCAGGTGGGGACGGGCTAGGGGAAGGGAGATGAGGTCCTCTTGGCCACACGTGCCTGGAATAGAGCTTCTGTGTGGGGATAAGAAATGCTAGCAGGTTTCCCAAGATGAAACCATGTCCAATGACTAAGATCTGGGGGAGGAGGGAGCCCCACCTTTTGGCTACAGCTGCCCAGAGTACACCAGAATAAAGTGTTTGAGGAAGAGGAGGGTAAAGGAGTGGATCAGCACCTATGTACCGCAGTCTCTGTTCCTCCAGAGATTGAGTAGATTTTCTTGAGTGAATGTTTCTGCATTTTCTATGTGCCCTTAAGACAATTGCCAGAGACTTTAAATAAACTGTTTTTATAAACTTTTTGGCCACACCACGAGGCATGCTGGTTCTTAGTTCCCCAACCAAGGATCAAACCTGCACCCCCTGCAGTGAAAGCGTGGATTCTTAGGACCACCAGGGAGGTCCCTAAATAACTGTTTTTATGATTTTTTAACAGTTACCTATTATGTAAGGGATAGGCCAGCTGAGGTTCTTACTCTGCCATTTGGAAGTAGCCTCTCTATGCAATTTTTGCAACTCCCTTTGAATATATATATATTTTTATATATGTATAATTATTTCAAAATAAAAAACTTTTGTAAAACATAGCAATGATTGATTGCAGCATTATATGAATTATTATGATTCAGTCTTTATATTCATAAAGTGAAACAGAAATGAGAATGTTTTATCTTCAGTATTTTGCAAACATCTGAGGAAATAGAATGCTAACTTTCCTACGAAGCTATGATTTGTGTTTACTGAAAGGTATGTACCAGGAAAGGGCACTCTGGCTTAGTGTAGTGAATCACATAAGGGGTTGTCCTCCTCTTCTTGAGAGGTGTGTGTGTGTGTGTGTGTGTGCACGTGTGTGTGTGTGAGTGTACATGCACACTCCTAACTGGGCATGTCCTCCTCCCCTGTAGATCCGTTCAGTTGCATGGAATACAGATGACAGCAAGCTGATTTCTTGTGGCACAGATGGTGCTGTGTACGAATGGAGTCTGTCCACAGGAAAGAGAGAGACAGAATGCGTGCTCAAGTCCTGCAGCTACAACTGCGTCACCATCTCTCCTGACGGCAAAATCATCTTTGCTGTTGGGTCAGACCAGACTCTCAAGGAGATTGCAGATTCCTCAGTGAGTCTGCCCCTGTCCCTCCTCTGGGCTGCTGCCTTCATCTGCAGAAGACAGCTTCCTGTGTTTACAGCAGAAAGGGGTTCTCCGAGAACAGGGCCCCTTCTTCTTGGGAGAACACCTGCCTTCTCGTTCCTAGACGATCAGCTCAGTAATTGTTACCTCTGGAATTTCCTTCCCAGTGCCCACCTGACTCATTTAAGTTGTGGGGCCCTTTTCCATTCCTCCTTCACTTGCTGACTGTAACTTCTCTCTCACCCTCCAGGGAAGGCGGTCAGCAGCATCTCTAAACTGCGCTCTAACCCTTGACTTGCACCTACTTCCGTGGGCTAAAAACAGAACTGTAGTTACTGCTGTCACCTAAGCTTGCCTCCATAATTGTTTGGAAATCCCCAAAGTCTGAAATTTTAAAATTATGCACATTGGCTCCCAAATAGTTAAGGGAGGAAAGAAGAGTTTGGCAAGGACACTTCCTGCCAAGAAAAGGAGCAGTGTCCTCCTCCACGAGCCCAGCCGAGAGGAGGATATCTCTCCAGTATGCCCCCAGGTAGCCCCCAGGGTGGTGGTTTCCACGGTGCTGCACCAGAACAAAGCTTCTTAAGGGGAGGGCCATGGCTCACATCTCTTGGTATCCCTACTAGGTAGCACAATGCATGGCCCACAGAAAACACTCGGTAAATAATTGGTGGCTAGGTGGCTGGGTGGGTTGATGGACAGTAGGGTGGATGGACGGATAGGTGGTGGGTGGATAAGTGAATTAAAGAGTGAAGGAATGAGCTAATTCCCTGAGAGTGTAGTTTTGTTCCTACAATGGACATTAATAACTACTTGCTGAGTAAATTTATGATCCACATCCCATTATTAGTTTGAGATACACGATAGAGTAGCAGTCGAGAACATACTCTCGGGAGCCTGAGTGTAGGTGGGAGAGTTGAGGTAACTTACCTAGCATCTCTGTGTCTCTGTGACTGTGTTTCATCATCTTTAAAATAGGGATGACAGTAACTACCTTAAGGGGTTTTTGTGAGGGTTAAATGAGTTACAACCTGTGAAAGCAGTAGAACGCTTCTGGGTATCTTACGAAAGTTTCCTTAGTGTTATTCCTAACTCCTAGATCTGTTTACTCACCAGTCAAGCAGCCAAGAAATATTTAGTTTGTGCTGTTTTATGCGCTAGACACTATGCCAGATGCTAAAAGGGATGGAAAACACACATTTTTAAATCCAGAAGTTGCCCTAATATTACTATTAAAAGCAAGGAGGAGAGTGACATGGGGACGCTGGGGACACAGTTCAGCCCCTCGCCCTGAACAGAGCTGGCTGTGTTTCAGGTAATTCGAGAGATGTCAGCATTTGACGTCATCTACACGGCCATCGTCATCTCCCACTCCGGGCGCATGATGTTTGTGGGCACCTCGTTGGGAACCATCCGTGCAATGAAGTACCCGCTCCCTCTGCAGAAAGAATTCAATGAGTACCAGGCCCACGCAGGTCCTGTGACCAAGGTGAGGGGGACCATTTCCCTGGGGTTCAGTCCCAAATTCAGCTCTTGAGAGACCCACCTGGTCCTGCCCTCTGCGTACCTGCTTCATCCCTTCTCCCTCCCAGAATCTTTTCTCTCCCCTTATTTATTAATCCAGCCAAGTGTTCAGTAAACACTTACTGGCTCTTAATACTCTTTGTTTGAACTACTCCCAGGAATTTGTCCTAGGAAGTGGTCAGAGGTGCCCCTGAAGATTTAAGTACAAGGTTGTTCATCATATTATTTTGCATAATAATATGGGCCATTTGAGAGATGCTGGAGGGCCCCACTCAGCTGTCGTCTACAGGCCAGCACCCTCATGTCCCAGCTGCTAATGGCTCACAGCTGGCCTTCTCCACAGAGTTGCTCTGGACTAAAAGGAGACGTAGCCTGGAAGATGAACCCCCATCCCTCCCCAAGGGCAATAACAGGAGCACATATTTGTAAATTGTCCTTCCATCCCCCCTAGTAAAAAAAGCAGTATCCGTGCTTACAATGGGATCCTGAAAAACAGGCACTGGGAAATGTGTTCTCTCTCCCTCCTCCCTCTCTTAACTTCAATTGAACAATACCAGCCTCTGAGGTTTTTCATTAAGTCCCAAGCTTTAAATTGACTTGCCTGCAGACACATCCTTATTAGGAAAGGATTTTTTCATTGTAAACCAGAACATTCCGGTACTGAACCTGAATCTTGGGTCCAAAGTAAATTACTATCACATATCTCTCTGCTTTGCTTTAGAACCACTAAATTTTGTGGATGTTTACTTTTCTGTTTATAAAAGCAAGACATGTTTATTTTAGGAATAAAAATCCTAATAGCATCATCATTAATATAGTGATGCATTTTCTTCTACATTTTTGTGCATATGCTTTAAATAAATTAAGATCATACTGTATGTACTATTTTATTGGCTGCTTTTTTCAAATTTGTGCTATTGTAGGCTTTTTTTGTACAATTAAATATTCCTCAAAAGCATGATTTTAGCAGCTATTCAAATATCCTCTTAATGATGAATCATAACTCATTTATCTCATCTCTTACAATTGGGCGTTTAAATTATCTCATGAGCTCATGGATATCCTAGCCTGTAGATTCCTATGAGCATCTCTGATTGTTTCCTAAGACTAAATGTCTAGACATAGTGAATCCTGAGGGAAAGAGAATGGCCATTTTTAAAGTTCTTGACACATTTTGGTGATTGTGAGAAGAGGGTTTCCATAGTTGATACTTCAGTTTTCATTTTTTATTTTGAAGTAAGTATAGAGGCACAAGAAATCTAAAAGATAGCATCAAGGTGCCGTGTGCTCTTCACTCGGTTTCCCCCAATAGTTGCGTCTAATGTACAGTGTCAAACCAGAAAGCTGATGGGGTGGAGTCCTAAGTCGTTTTTTTCTCAGGCATAGATGTGTGTAACCACCACCGCACGCAAGACACAGAACTATGCCAGCGCCACAAAGACCTCCCTCCTAACCCCTCATAGTCCCACCACCATGCCTAGTCCTCGGCAACCACTAAGTTATTTTCCATTTCTATAACTCTGACATCTTGATAATTTTATGTAAATAATCATACAGTATATGTATGAAATTATCAAGATGTTAAAGTTATAGAAATGGAAAATAATCATACAGTACCTGGAGAAGGAAATGGCGACCCACTCCAGTACTCTTGCCTGGAGAATTCCATGGACAGAGGAGCCTGGCAGGCTACAGTCCACGGGGTCACAAAGAGTCAGGCACGACTAAGCGACTAACACACAATCAAACAGTACATGACCATCTCAGAGGAGCTTTTTCTCACTCAGCATAATACTTTTGATCTCCATGTCAGTTATTTCATATATCAATACTTTATTCTGTTTTCTCTGAGTAGAATTCCATGGTAAGGGCATGCCATGATTTGTTTAACTGCCTACCCCTTGTAAGATATTTGATTTTCCCCCCATAGGTTTTGGGCTGCTACAAATAAAACTGCTATGAACAATTCCGTACTGGCTTTTATGTTGACATAAGTTCATTTCTCTGGGGAAAATGCCCAGGAATACTGTTGCTTAATCATATATTGCAAGTATGTTTATATAGTTTTTCAAGAAACTGCCAAGCTGTTTTCTATTCCTTTCAGCAATACACAAAAAATCCAGTTTCTCTGCACCATTGCCAGCATTTAGTATTAGCAGTATTTTTTTTTTATTTTAGCTGTTCTAATAGGTATATAGTGACATCTCATTATAGTCCTCATTTGCATTTCCTTAATGACTAATAATATTGAATATCTTTTCATGTGCTTATTTGCCATCTGTATTACTTCTCCAATGAGATGTCTCTGTATATTTTGCCCACTTCCCAATTGGATTATTGGGTTTTTTTAACTATTGATTCTTTAGTGTACCTAATAATTGACTCTAAAGATTCCAAAGCCACAGAGAACATAAACATAGCCTTATCTTTTCATTCATTCCCAGAAGCCCATGAGGGCTCCTGTCTCACTCTTTTCTAAGATCAAATCTTCCTCCCTGGGAGTCTGTGCCTGGGCTTGCGTGGGGTGGGGATCTTGCACAACCACTGACTCAGTCCTGGTCTCCATGGCCTGAGAAAGCCTCCTCACCATGCTCCTTCTCCTCAGATGTCACTCACCTTTGACGACCAGTTCCTGCTGAGCGTTGCCGAGGATGGCTGCCTATTCACCTGGAAGGTCTTTGATAAGGATGGCCGGGGAATCAAGCGAGAGAGGGAGGTGGGCTTTGCTGAAGAGGTGCTGGTTACCAAGACAGACATGGAAGAGAAGGTAAGAATTGGATCTGATGAAGAGCAACAGGGAAATTGCCTGTCAGGCTGCGTCCAGTGTCCTGGGACCGGCATAGAGCCCCTCTCCAGCCTGGCTTCACCTGTGCCCAGTGCAGACCCCCCACCACCACCCCTGCATCATGTGTCCTTCCCACCCCGTTTGTGCTTCTGCAAGGTGGCCACCCTGACTCACACTGAGCAGTCCTCTCAGGCGGTGACCTAGCTCTCCTCTCCTACTCTTTGAAAGCAGGTGCTGTTGCTGCTAAGTCACTTCAGTCGTGTCCGACTCTGTACGACCCCACAGACGGCAGCCCACCAGGCTCCCCCATCCCTGGGATTCTCTAAGCAAGAGCACTGGAGTCGGTTGCCATTTCCTTCTCCAATGCATGAAAGTGAAAAGTGAAAGTGAAGTCGCTCAGTCGTGTCCAACTCTTAGCGACCCTGTGGACTGCAGCCCACCAGGCTCCTCCATCCATGGGAGTTTCCAGGCAAGAGTACTGGAGTGGGGTGCCATTGCCTTCTCCTTGAAAGCAGGGACTGTGACATAATTCGCTTTAATGACCAACAGTTTCCAGCACATGCTAGGCATGGGGAGACAGACAGTCAATAAATACTTACAAAATTAATGTGGCACATTGAATATTCTAGTTGTATCTATGAAACTTAAGTAACAGCTGGTATCTGGAACCTTCTCTTTTTTTTTAAAAAAAAAGTATTTATAAAACAGTCCTGAAATCCACTGCTTTCAATAATAAAACAATAAAAGTAATAATATCCAGTAACCAAACTTTTTTGGGGGGGCTTCCCTGGTGGCTCAGTGATAAAGAAGCCGCCTACCAATGCAGGAATCACAACTTTGATCCCTGGATCAGGAAGATCCCCTGGAGGAGGAAATGCAACCTACTCCAGTATTCTTGCTGGGAGAATCGCGTGGAGAGAGGAGCCTGGTAGGCTACAGTCCTTGGGGTCACAAAAAAGTTGGATGCAACTGAATGACTAAACAACAGCAAACCTTTTATTTAGGTTTGCCACAAACCAAACACTGTGCTAATTACCAATACAGGAGACACAGGTTTGATCCCTGGGTTGGGAAAATCCCGTGGAGGAGGAAATGACACCCACTCCAATATTCTTGCCTTTGAGAAATTCAGTGGACAGAGGAGCCTAGTGGGCTACAATCTGTGGAATTTGTAAAAGAGTTGGACACGACTTAACGACTCAACAGCAACAAACCTTTTCTTTTAGGTTTGCCACAAATCAAACACTGTGCTAATTACTTTATAAGTATTTTCTCATTTAAATCTCACAACTGGAGAAGATACTATTGTTTTCCCCCATGTTCCAGGAAATACTTTTGGAGAGATTGAGTGGCATGTCCGTAGTTACTGAGCTATTAGTTAGGAGTAGGCCAGGAGCACCAATCTAGACTTCATCGACAGCCCACTTCCATAATCATGACCTCAGAGTACCTTCCCTCCTGCTGATCCAACCAACAGTCCATCACATGTGTTTGGAGCACTCTGAGCCTTGTGCTCCCCGAGGAAGAAGCCCACTGGGTGGTATTTTCTCAGGGCATACACAGCACGCACAGCTGTGCACTCACTGCCGTTCATCCAGAGTTTAATGTGCATTCATTGAGTACCTGCTGTTTGCTGGCCACTGGGGATGCATGTGTGGAAAGACAGGCCGGGCCCTGGGATCAGGAAACTCACAGTCACGGGAGGGACAGAGACAAGTGAAAGCAGCAGGACTGCAATGCCAAAAGGGCCCCAGAGTAGGATGATAGTCCCCTGGCGATTCCAGGAGATCACTCCAAGAGCGCTCTGGAACTTTCTGCAGGAAAGGGAAGTGGGAGGAAAGGCTGAGGGAGACCCTGGGACAGCTGGAGTCCAACCTCCTGCAGGCAGACATGTGTGTCTCCTCCTCCTCCTCCTCCTTCTCCCCTTTCTCCTCTTCCCAGAGGGGAGAGGCGTACACCCAACAGGACACAGCAAGCTTATTGTTTTATTTTGGCCCTGCCACATAGCTTGCAGGAACTTAGTTCTCCAGCCAGCAATTGCACCCACACCCTTGGCAGTGAAAGCCTGGAGTCCTAATCACTAGACAGCCAGCGGATTCCCTAGGTAAAGTTCTTAAAGGGAATCAAGTGGGTAGCGAGTGTTATGAAGGAAACAGTGCTGTGGGAGCACAGGGAAGGGACCCTGACCCAGGCAGACTGGTGTCTGAGGAAGTGAGCCTTGAATAGAGCCTCCAGGACATGAGTGTGTGCAGATGGGTGAGGGAGGGTGCTCTGAGGAGGATGCCCTGAGCTAGGGGGGCTGGAGTGGAAGGGGTGCTGGAGAGAAAGTTTGGAGGTGAAGCAGAGAGAGGCGGTGAGGGGGCTTTTATAGCAGGTTTCAGACTTTGGAGATGGTTCCTAAGGCCCCATTGATGATCTGAGTTAGGCAATGACTTGATAGATTTGCATCTGGAGAGACTTCTCTGCAGTAGTCACGTGGAGACGGACAGAGGCAGGAGGATGAACAAGTGTTTCCAATGCAGCGTGTCAGAACCGGTGATTCCTGCCAATAAATGTATCCCACTTGTCCCCGGCAGACCCCCAGGGCCACGTGTTCATCTGATACGTGTTTATTTGGTGCTGATTCTATTGCTGGTCCTGCACTGGGCTCCCAGGATAATGCAGGGAAGCAAGCCAGGCCAGAGCAACCCTCAGGGGATGGTCCGGTCAGGGGTGGTGAACTTCACCCATAGTCCTCTCACTCATCTTCACCACATCAGGTACCATTCCCTAAAACCTCTCCGAAATCTTTCCACTCTGCTCTGCTCCTCGACCTCTGGTCAGGCCCTTACCATCTCCACCAGGACTGTGCAGGGCCCCTCAACTAATGCATCTGCCCTCAATCCTTCTCTAACCCAGCCTGGGTGCACACTGCCTGGCTTTGGGCACTTCTCACAATTGGTAGTGGTATGTCTACCTGGCTGATTCAGTAGGCTGTAAGTTCCATGGAGGCAGGAATCCTGATTCAAAAAATGCTTCTCTAGTGCCTACTCTGTGTTCAGCACCATTCTAGGTACCTGAAATACATCAGTGTGCAAAACCAAAAAGATCTCAGCCTTCTTGGAGATTGAATTCTAGTGGGGGATGAAGACAAAAGGCAATAAACAAAATAATACATAACATTTAAAAGTGCCAAGATCTAAGGAGATAATGAAAAATAGAGCAGAGTAAGGGGTGGGGAGTCAGAGTGCTGGGAATGGGAATGGCAAGGGGAAGGAAGCAGGATTAAATCAGGTCCATGTAGACCTGACTGAGCAGGTGACATTTAAGCGTATTTGCAGGAGAGATGTGAGTCATTAGCATGATGCCTGTCGCTCAGTGGAGCTCCACACTGAATAGGTGCTTTGGAGATAGAGGATGACGCTCGTATGTCTCCAAGTGTCTGATCTGTGTGTCTTATGTGGAAAGATGACACATGCTCTGAGCAGAGCTGCAGGTCCCAGGGAACTCAAGGCCACGGGTTTAGATAGTCCGATTCAGCCGCACTGTGAATGTTCTTGATTCTGTGTCCTCCTCCCAAAGGCTCAGGTTATGTTGGAACTGAAGACTCGTGTGGAAGAACTAAAAATGGAGAATGAGTATCAGCTTCGACTGAAGGATATGAACTATTCTGAGAAGATTAAGGAGCTGACAGACAAGTTCCTCCAGGAAATGGAGTCCTTGAAAACAAAAAACCAGGTCCGTTGAACCAACGGCCACAAATAATAAGAAATTTCCTATTCACTCAAGGCAACTGGCACTCACTCAAACAATAAGACATGTGATAATGTTGATAACATCAGAAATGCTTACAGTGTAGTGCTAAGTGGAAAAAGAGAAAAAAGCAGAATATAAAAAACTCTTAATGGTGAATGCTACTAATGAGGTAAAAATAGATACACCTAGAACAATTTTTAAGAAAATAGATAATGATATGACCATCTCCGGAAGTTGAGATTGTGGATAGTTTGAATTTAGTTCTTTATGCTTTTCCATAACTTCCAAATTCTCCACCATGAGAATATATTACCTTTCTGATCAAGAAAAACTTACTTAATAGCAAAATGAAAAGTAACAAGAAAAATAAAGTAGGGAAAGAGAACGCTTGCAGAATATTGATCTCCAGGTTGTCGGTAAGTTAAGTAAAATTAGTCTAAATGACCTTCCTGTCATTAACATTGGGCCAGGATTCTCCTGGAATGATTTCTCTGTTCCGTACAAACCTGCCTGGCCCTTCTTCCAACACTGCCAATTTTTCGCTCAAGTGATATTTGGTTCTTTTATGTTATCTCTATGAGTCTAAAGACACCCTGGCAGTTAATTTTATTATTTCATTCATTTAATCAACAAACATTGGTGCCCTCTGTACACAGAGTACAAAGTTAGGCCCCTCCCCTGCCTGCAAGGAGCTTTCCTCCTCCGTGAAAGAAAACACTTTCTTAGAAGCTGACACATTAACATATCCAAGGATTTCCTTTGAGAGCAATGTGCTAACAACAGAGGATTCAAATCCGTTCTTACCTTTTCCACCCGAAAATCCATTTGGGGCCTGTCCAAACCTGAACTCGTGATTGACAAGATCCATTTCACAGAAGGGATCTGTATAGAGATAGTGTAGAACTTTCAGAGCAGAATATAATACAAATAAAAATGATAGCTTGAATGTTGTTCATAGAACAGTGCTTGGTGCAAAGTAAGGGCTTGGGAAATGTTTGTGAGCGAAGGAGGATATTACTTGTACAATTGGTGCTTCTCTCAGTGGTGCTTTCACCAGACGTGTAGAAATGAGAATATTTGACTCTGTGTCTTAGGTTTTAAAAACCGAGAAAGAAAAGCAGGATGTACTCCATCGAGAATGCATGGACGACCTCCTGGACAAACAGAGCCGGGAACTGCAGGACCTAGGTGAGGCCACCTGTGGAGGGCCCTGGGCAGAGGGTTGGTTGGGGGCAAAGTCCAATAGCCCTCTGGATTCAACCCCAGTCTATAAACAGCCTGCCTTTATCCCCTGGAGCTCACTGTGGTTTTTATTCCTGTGTATTTACTCATGCTTTAAACACAGGTTAAATACCTACTGCATGCCAGTAGGAGATACAAAAAAGTGTGGGTTTGGAACCTAATAGGCTACATTGGGTCCCAGACTCACCCTGACTTGCTGGGTGCTCTAGGGAGTCACCTAACCTCCCCCAGCCTCAGTTTACTCTTCCATAAGATGGGGGTGCTGGTACCCGTTTTGCATACTCAGGACATTCCTCTTGACCCTGAACCCCTAAACATCCCTCTGCACTTCCCTGGAAACCTTTCTGCCTAATATCAAAGGGAGAGAATCAGGTTGCCTGATGAGACGATAGCGTGGGGGCCCTATAAGGAAGATGGGTGTGCTTTTGAATCTGGCCTGTGGAGGCAGAGGCTCTAGCTGGTGCAAGAAGGAGACAGAAAAACAGCCAAGGCTCCTGAGCGTCCCCGGGGTTGCTGCTACCGTCCCTCCTGAAGTAACCTTCCTTGCTTCTCTCCAGAATGTTGCAACAACCAAAAGTTGCTCCTGGAATATGAGAAGTACCAGGAGTTGCAGCTCAAGTCCCAGAGGATGCAGGAGGAATACGAGAAGCAGCTTCGGGATAACGATGAGACCAAGAGCCAGGCCCTGGAGGAGCTGACTGAGTTTTACGAGGCCAAACTGCAGGAGAAAACCACCCTCCTGGAAGAGGTACTCACAGGAAGCCGAGCTCTGCCTCCTGTTCACAGTGCCATCCTGCAGCCCTGGCCCGGCAACAGCCCTGAGAGCCGTGGGGAGCCTCACTTGACCTCCTTTTCCTTCCCCGCCTTCCTTCCTGAGTGTGTTTCATAGCCTTGTCTGGTGCCGTTTCTATGTTTGTGTCCCTGGCAGCTAGGGGCTTCCCTGAGTGGGGAGGTGCTCAGCTTTTCAGACTGAAGTTCCTTGGCTAGACTAAGTTCATCCCCATTACTTTTAACTGTATCTTCACTGGGGAGAGCTTTCTAGAAGAAGCCTGTAGAACCTGCAGACGAACAAGGGACCTGAACCACGGGGAAGATGGTTGCCTGAAACCCTTCGTAGCTTCTTATGTCTCACAAGATGAAATCATTCCTTCACGGACTCAACAAACAGACCTGTCTTACAGGTTTACCAGCATAAGTGCTGGGTGGTCAAGCAAAGTGAAATGTGGGGCCAGGTTCTTGGTTGGGTGAGAGAGGCTTTCACACAGACTAATGTTCATCAAAATGTAGACAGGACAGAGGGGGACACAGACACAGAGCGCCTCCCCCCTCCTAACCCTCCACCCACCCCCCACATCCCCTGCCGCTGGCCTCCAAGGTCAGGAAAGGCTGGTAGGAGCTACTGAGATCCTGGAGGCATGGAAGCTGGAATTAACCAGGAGACAGGGAAATGCAGGAGGTTAAGAGAGAGCATCCAGGCAGAGCAAAGTCATAGAATGTTCCAGCAGATGGGGTTGCCGCAATATCTCATTTCCTGAGATGAAGAGAAAATTTGAGAGAGGCCAGATGGTCTCCTTTTTGGCACAAAATTCTGGCAGATGGTGTTATGAGAGTGAGGGGGCAGGAGAGTCATGAAGGTGTGGAGTGATTTTGGGGTGGTTTTTTTTTTTTTTTTTGGCTGCTCTGGGTCTTCATTACAGTGCATGGTCTTAGTTGCCCCATTGCATATGGGATCTTAGTTCCCCAACCAGGGATCGAACCCACTTTGGAAGGCACATTCTTAACCACTGGACCACCAGAGAAGTCCCTGTATGGAGTGATTTTTGAAGGGAATGATGATGAAGAGGATGGCCAGGTCTGTAGCTGAAGGCCTAACTGCCTGAGACACTAGTTCTGGCAGCAGTCACCCACCAGGCTGTGTGCTTTTCCACAGCAGGGCTCTGCAAGTAAACGTGTGAGCAAGGAAGGCACAGAGCAGCCCTGACCCAGAGCCGGGGCTTCACCAAGTGGTGAAAATAATGGTCGGCTGGGAACAAGCCCCTGGGTCCAGGCCAGAGAGAGTCAGTAAGGAACCGAGAGACCGTGGATGAATCAAGACCAGGCCAGGGAACGTGGTGAGGTTGAGAGCCAGGGTGGCATACCTGGGATCCAACAGAGAAGTCACCTGTGCTCAGAGAGCAGGGCCTGTATTTTAAGACTCAGAGGTGGCACTGCTCCAAGAGGTGGGCCTGAGAGCGGGTGCAGGAAGATAAGGATCACAGCACCAGGAGACGTCCTAGGGTCCTCTGTAACCACCCTGATGGTGGCAGGGAAGATGCTGAGTCAGCATCCGGAAGTCCTTGGTGAACTGGGACACTGCCCAGGCAGTGAGGGTGGACTCAGTAGGAAGTAGAGGGTGGAGGCCCCACAGACTTGGCAGAGGCTGAGCTCAGATAGCAGAGTGAGAGCCAAGAGAATTCCGCCCCCACCTGAGCCCACCTGATTCCAGTTCTACAGTATGAGGAATGCTCCCTAGCTGCCCTGCCTACCTGCCCAGCCCCATTTCCAGTTGCCCAATCCAGCTTCACACATCCAATGATGTGCAGCCTCCAGAATTCTTCTACACCAACCTCTGAGCCCCTGCTCAAGACGATGCTTCTTCGCCTGGCTGCTGGTGTGCAACCTCAGGGACTCAGGACAAGAACCAGCTCCTTGACAATTTTTCCCTAACCCCTCCCCCTCCTCCTCCCCCTTTTCAGTTCAGTTCAGTCGCTCAGTTGTGTCCGACTCTTTGCAATCCCATGAACTGCAGCACGCCAGGCCTTCCTGTCCATCACCAACTCCCGAAGTCCACCCAAACCCATGTCCATTGAGTCAGTGATGCCATCCAACCATCTCATCCTCTACTGTCCCCTTATCCTCCTGCCCTCAATCTTTCCCAGCATCAGGGTCTTTTCAAATGAGTCAGCTCTTCACATCAAATGGCCAAAGTATTGGAGTATCAGCTTCAACATCAGTCCTTCCAATGAACACCCAGGACTGATCTCCTTTAGAATGGACTAGTTGGATCTCCTTGCAGTCCAAGAGACTCTTAAGAGTCTTCTCCAATACCACAGTTCAAAAACATCAATTCTTTGGTGCTCAGCTTTCTTTATAGTCTAATTCTCACATCCATACATGACTACTGGAAAAGCCGTAGCCTTGACTAGATGGACCTTTGTTGGCAAAGTAATGTCTCTGCTTTTTAATATGCTGTCTAGGTTGGTCATAACTTTCCTTCCGAGGAGTAAGCGTCTTTTAATTTCATGGTTGCAATCACCATCTGCAGTGATTTTGGAGCCCAGAAAAATAAAGTCTGACACTGTTTCCCCATCTATTTGCCATGAAGTGATGGGACCGGATGCGATGATCTTAGTTTTCTGAATGTTGAGCTTTAAGCCAACTTTTTCACTCTCCTGTTTCACTTTAATCAAGAGGCTCTTTTGTTCTTCTTCTCTTTCTGCCATAAGGGAAGTGTCATCTACATGTCTGAGGTTATTGGTATTTCCTCCCCCTTACAGGGCTAAGTATCCCTCCTCTGTGTTCTCAAGGCCCCCAGGCCCGTTTTACTCATGGAGCTTATACAACAGCATCTCAGTTTCCTGGGCTCTGCTTTCAGGGTGAATGGATCCGCCCAGAGTGGTGAGAGGCCAGCCTTCCTCCCCAGACCTCTCATAGTGATGACAAGGCTTTTCTTCTTTTGAGTCAGCAGGATTTCAACTCAGAACTTTCCTAGAGAGATGCTTCCCAAATGTCATTCTTCTACTTTTTAGCAACATCTCTTAGTTCAAGAGCAGGGGCTTGTGGGCCCCTCTGGGTTACAGGCAGAGTCCACTGGCCAGACTTTGGTCCAGCAATAGTCTGGTGACATGATGGGCAAAGAGAAGCCTTTGTCAGGAGGTCATTGAGGTCAGTTTTAAAACCACCTGCCTCTCTCAATCTCCAAAACACTCAGTCAAGGGATGGTATGTGCAACCTGGGAGAATGCCAGGGTCAGAATCGGAAGAAAGCCACTGATTCTGCTGAGATCTACAATGTCCACCGCCAGGCAGCAATGAGCAAGGAGGGGTCCTGCCCCAGTCACCCCCCACGCTCCACCAGGCAGAGCTTGTTCTCCCAGCATCTGAGCTCTAGGCTTTTACTCATTCAGCACCAACTCTATACCATATACTGCGCACTGTGGTAGACAGAGATGCGGCCCTGCCATCATGGAGCCTCCGTGTCAAACAGGCATTTATTATGTGATGGGGGGTATACAGGCTTCACACAGGAATTGATAACCTCAGCCAAGAGCTGGAGGAAGAGTCAGAGAAAGCCATGGGACGAGGCTGGAACCAGAGGTCCAGTGAGTACCAAGGTCCTGTAGCTGAGGACCACGCACATTGGGGGAACTGCAGTTAGTTCACACTGGCAAGAGCTCAGGGCAGGAGTGATGGCTGAGGCTGGAGAGGTGAGCCAGGCCTGCCTCCTGAGAGTTTGTGGACTAGGTTCAAGAGCCCGGACTCTACCCTGAGGACAAGGGTGAGACAGAGAAGCCTTCCAAGTTAGGAGCGGCATGACCAGGTGTGTGGTTTAGAAAGTTCCCCTCAACTGGAGGATAAGATCAGGCTGGAGGGAAGCATGACCAGAGGCAGGAGGCCTGCTCGGAGGCTGAAAACAGTCCAGGCAAGAGGTAATGGGGGCCTGGGCAGTGGCAGAGGCACAGAGAAGTGGGTGGATTCAAAAGGTGGAAAGGGTGGTACTGACTGGATTAGGGAGGGGGGAAAAATTAAAGAGTCACTCATTCATTCAATATTTATTGGGTACCTGCTGTGTGCCAGTGTGTATTATACACTGGGAACTCATGGTGGGCATGATAGGCTAGGTTTTTACCCTCAGGGAACTTACATCTAATGGGAGAGACAATCAAGTAATTCCAGAAATAAATATAAAGTTGTAAGTATCACAAGTTTAGTGAAAGGAAGATAGAGGGGGGGCTGGTGTCTGTGAAGAAAGCCAGAGGTGGAATGGTGGATGTTCTGATGGGACGGTGATCAAAGCGATGGAGTGTGAGGCCTGATCTGGTAGGGAGAGAGGGACAGACAGGACAGGAAGAAAGTGGACGGGCCAAGGGACCCATGGCCTTGTTTGCCATTTCTGTGCTAACACTCGGTCTTTCATCCCTGTGATAGCCTTCGATACTCACCTTGCCCTGGGCCCTCTGAGCTCCAAGGTGCCGCCTGTCCCCACCTCCCTGGACTCACACTCCTCTTCTCTCCACGCCAGGCACAGGAGGATGTCAGGCAGCAGCTGCGGGAGTTTGAAGAGACCAAGAAGCAGATTGAAGAAGATGAAGACCGTGAGATCCAAGACATCAAGACCAAATATGAGAAGAAGCTTCGGGATGAGAAGGAAGCAAACCTGAGACTCAAAGGAGAAACAGGCATCATGAGGAAGAAGGTACCGGGCTGGTTTCTGAGAGGCGTGCGGGGCAGGCCTGGACCGCACTTCAGAGAAAGCTTGGGGTGGGTGGATGGACATGGAGTCAGCTAACAGTGGCTCTGTCCAGGGTGGGGGCCGGTGTGGGGGCAGACTGGCTGAACTCCCACCTGAATGTCCTCAGCTCCAGCAAGTGGGTTTGGAAAGCAGCGCCAGCCAGTGTGAAGGTTCCCCCTGCACAGACAGGCAGACAGATCCTTACCACACCCTCTGATGGGGTAACCACTGGAGCTCGCCCTCCTCTCTCCTGTTCACAGGAGACAAGGAGGTTCACCATGACGCTGGTGAACGCTTTGGGCTTTCCTGTATTGGCAAGTGGGGTTTAGAGTTTTCAGAGTTAAACCTTTAAAGTGGAAATGAGGTCTTTGGAGGTGAGATAGATGAAGTCTGCACCTGGAGGTGTCCTCAGGCTCTCAGTGTAGGGAGTCAGGGTTGCTCCTGGTCGGACACTGTGGGTGGGAGAAGGATTGGGAGTAGAGGGTACTTAGTTTACAAGGCGGGGGAGATGTTTGTAGTCACTGACGGCCAGGCAAGGAGGCATTCAGTTCACAGATCCTTACAGAATTGCCAATTCCCCCCAAACGTTTAGCCTTTGTTGCTATTCAGTTGCTCAGTCATGTCTGACTCTTTGCGACCCCAATCACTGCAGCATGCCAGCTTTCCCTGTCCTTCACTGTCTCCCAGAGTTTGCTCAAACTCATGTCCATTTAGTCAGTGATGCCATCCAACCGTCTCATCCTCTGTCACCCCCTTCTTCTGCCTTCAGTCTTTCCCAACATCAGGGTCTTTTTCAGTGAGTTCACTCTTCATATCAGGTAGCCAAAGTATTGAAGCTTCAGCTTCAACATCCTTCCAATGAATATTCAGGTTGATTTCCTTTATAATTGACTAGTTTGATCTCCTCGCAGTCCAAGGGACTCTCAAGAGTTTTCTCCAACACCACAGTTCTAAAGAAGTCAAATGCAAAGCAAGTTCACATTCTTTCCTATTAGAAATCACACTACTAGTCAATCCAGGGGCAGTCATGCCTTCCCTTCTTGGACATGACTGAGATGGCTTATCACTTAGGTCACTCATCTGTGACCTTGACGGATCATGGATCCCAACCTTTCAAGGTCAGTGCAGTCATGGAAAACTCTGGATCCACCAGGGGAACTGGTCTCTAGAGGCCCTTACGGCAGACAGTCCTTTCTCACATAAGGGGATGGGACTGGATCTTCTTGGACAGAAGGCTACATTGCCCATTTGGCCTGGGAAATTCCTGACAGTCCCAAATTCTGATGAGAAGCTCCTAAAATCTATAGGCAGTGGGGTGGAACAGAGGTGAGTTCACAGGGTCTGGTGTTCTCTGCTGTTGCCGTTTTTTCCCCTAGTTCAGCAGCTTGCAGAAGGAGATTGAAGAGCGAACCAACGACATTGAGCTCCTGAAGGGGGAGCAGGTGAAGCTGCAAGGGGTCATCAAGTCCCTGGAGAAGGACATCATGGGCCTCAAGCGGGAGATCCAGGAAAGAGACGAGACGATTCAAGATAAGGTAAAGGCACATCCTCTGTCCCCCCTCCACTCCAGCCTGGCTGGACCCAGGCCATGAGGACAAAGCTCTAGACAGAGTCCCTGCCTTTTGACCTCAGTGGGGGATGAACTGTCAGCGAAGTGCCTACTGTGTGGGTGGCACTGGGCTAAGTGCTGTAAATGCATCCCATTCAATTCCCACCAAAACGCCAGGGACCGTGAGCAACCCAGTTGTATAGCTCAGGAAACTGGTCCCAGGGTTAAGTGTCTCACCCAGGGTCCTAACAGTTTATAGGTGGTAAGAGCCTGAGTGCTGACTGCCAGGCCCCAGCTCGCTTCTGTGCCAGGCATCCCAGGGTGACCATCCCATGGACTAGGGGCAGCTCACCCACTGCATCGCCTGTGTGGTCCCCCTGATCAGAGAGCAACTCCCCTGCGGCTAGCCCTGTAACCACTGGTAACCGCAGAAAGCAAATCACTTTTCTGGATAGCTTTCTCACAAAACAGTAAGACAGACACATCACATGTTGTGAGGTACACCCACCTCCGTATCCAAAATCTCATCTCCTCCTCCTGAGCAAATCAAGGCTCTTCGCCCTCCTGTCATCCCCTTTGCCATTGTTGCCTTAGTTGGATGCAGCTCCCGAGTGATTGAGAACCTGGGTTTCAGCCTAGTGAGCTAGGTTCCCGGGCAGCTGCTGACCATATGACAGCATCAGGCAACTGATCCAAGCCATGTTGTCTCATCTGTGAATGGGGCACTCGGGGGGGTCTGACAAAGACAGCATGAGACACTGCCTGCATGTCATTTCTGCAAGTGAGCATTTGCGTTTATAGCTGGGCATTTTTTTAGGTAGGAGCCAGAGCTCTCTGAAGATTTTTTTTTTTTTTGAAGATTCTTAAAGTGTTTTTTTATTAATTTTTATTGGTGTATAGTTGATGTACAATGTCGTGTTAGTTTCACGCATGCAGTAAAGTGGATCGGTTATCCATGTACACATATCCGCTCTTTTTTAGATTCTTTCCACTTATAGGTCATTACAGAGTATTGAGTAGAGTTCCCTGTGCTATAAGTAGGTCCTTGCTGCTGCTGCTAAGTCATGTCAGTCGTGTCCGACTCTGTGCGACCCCATAGATGGCAGCCCACCAGGCTCCCCCGTCCCTGGGATTCCCCAGGCAAGAACACCGTAGTGGGTTGCCATTGCCTTCTCCAATGCATGAAAGTGAAAAATGAAAGTGAAGTCTCTCAGTCGTGTCCAACTCTTAGCGATCCCATGGACTGCAGCCTACCAGGCTCCTCCATCCAAGGGATTTTCCAGGCAAGAGTACTGGAGTGGGGTGCCATTGCCTTCTCCGAAATAGGTCCTTACTAGTTAGCTATTTTATGTTTAGTAGTATGTATATATGAATCCCAATCTACTGATTTTTTTGTCACCCCCCCCCCCGCCTTAAAGGGGGGGTCTTGACAAGAAAGAGGGTAAGACCTTTAGAAAATTGCACCAGCCTAACAGGTTTAACAGCCTTCCATCCCACTTCCCTAACAGGCTCCCTGCCTCCACACTCTGTAATCATTTCAGTCTCCCACTTTAAATTCTATCGCAGCTCTCAACTGTGTGTGGCAAGGGTCAGCAACCTTTTTTTTCTGTGAAGGGCAAGGTAGTAAATATTTTTTTGTCTTTGCAGGCAGTGTGGTTTCTGCTACAGTTGCTCAGTTCTGCTCCAGTAGCATAAAATCAGTCATAGATGAGACATCAATGAATGGGCTTGGCTGTGTTCCAATAAAACTTGATGAAACTAGGCAGAAGGTCAGATTTGACCTGAGGGCTATAGCTAACCAGCTCCTGGCCTCCTGGATAAATTCTCAACTATTTAGACCCTTGCCTTCCTCCCCCTTCCCCTCCTGTCCTATTTCTCACTGCCCCCATCTACCACCACCCTAACTCATGCGAGTTCTCAGCACCCTCAATGCACACCATGCCTTCTGTGTGCCAGCCTCTTCTGCAACACCTGTCACAGTGTAGGTTTACACTTGTTGGCACACCTGCTTTCCCAACTAGTATGTTTCCTCTTGAGGGTAGGGACTGTGGCATATTTCTATTTGGAATTTGTAACCTTGGCAAAAGATCTCTGTTCAGTAAATAACATGTAAATCTACTCTCCAGTTGTCATTGCCATGCAACACATTGCCCCAAGACTTAGTGGTGAAAAACAACTGTTTCATTATGCTTGCAGATTTTGTGGGTCTAGAATCTGGACAGGGTACAATGGGATGGCTTGTCCTTGTCCTCGATGTCTGGGGTTCTAGTGGGACCTCAGGTGGGTGACTCCAGCAGCAGTGGGCTCAAAGACCAACAGCCAGTGTGGCTTCTTCAGCCCCCTATCCAGTCCCTTGGCCAGCATGGCTGGAATGCTGGGCTTAGCTGGGACTGTTGACAGAGCACCAAACATCCTATCCAGCCTACAGGTCTCAGAGCGGTGGGACTTTTGACATAACGGGTGGCCTCCCCCAGAGCATGTGTTCCAAGAGAACCAGGTGGAAGCTGCTCGATCTTTTCCAAGATAGCCTGGGAAGCCACACTGCATCACTTGAGCTGCATTCTTTGGGTTACAAGCAGACCATAAATCCAGCCAGATGCAAAGGGAAGGGATTAGACCCTGCCTCCTGATGGAGAAGCGTAAGGTCATATTGTAGAACATTTGGGATGAGAGGTGCTCTCCAGGTGAGCTTTCTTCCATGCAGTCAACCACAACCTGTCTGGATAGGTGAGTGAATGACTGAAGTCTGGCACAGAAGCTGGGGAGTCAGTGGTGCCGCTGGTGGGGGAGCCCCCCTTTGTGTCCCCTCAGGAGGTCACAGGATTTGTGTTCTGTGCCTAAAGGGATTCCATACCAGGGCCTCCGGATAGCTGTCTCCCACCTCCCTGCTCTCACCCACAGGAGAAGCGAATCTATGATCTGAAAAAGAAAAATCAGGAACTAGAGAAATTCAAGTTTGTGCTTGACTACAAAATAAAGGAGCTGAAGAAGCAAATTGAGCCTCGAGAGAATGAGATCAAGGTGATGAAGGAACAGATTCAAGAGGTGAGAGGCCATCTGGACACCCTGGCCTTAGTCCCAACCATTCCTGGCTGGGGTGGGGGTTGGGGGGCTGAAAGCAAGCTCTCCTCACAGCCTCTCTCTGCTCCCAAGGTCCACACCAGCCTCCACTCTGCACAAAGTGAAAGTGAAGGCCTAAGGAGGGGTCCAGTGGTGCAGAAGCAAAATGCTTTGAGCTCTGGCTTCCCCCGGGCCCTTGGATGGGATTTAACCTTGTTCCTCCCCCGCCTCCCCGCTGTGCCCGTGTTCTGGGCCCTCCAAGGGAAACGGCAGCCATTGAGGCTTCAGCCACCAGGGGGCGATGTCTACTCAGCCACCAGCTTGTCCTCCAGAAAGCACATCCCTCTGGATTCAACATTTTTTTCTCAGACTAAACATGTTGGCGGGAGCCCTACGTGAGGCGGCCGCGTTTGGACTTCATCTGATAAGGAGTAGGAAATCCTCAGAGGCTCTTGAGCAAGAGAATGGCAAAATGAAGTATGTGTTCTGGGAAGCAAACAGGATGAAGGCAGACAAAAGAGAGGGCTCCTGAGAGTCCAGTGGGGTACAAGTGTTGCCTGTGGGCCCCTCTGCCTTTCCGTGTGGCGGTGTTTACCTGGAAGCCTGCCCATGCTGGGCAGAGAGCAGCTGACTGGGGTCCATGGTTGATCCACACCACGGTGCTTCAGTTAGAACTCTGGACGCCTTCTAAGGCCTTCCCTGTTAACCTCCGTATCCACATCACTGATGCCTGTCTGATTGACCTCCAAATGATGTTTCAGATCCAACCCTCCTTGCCCTCTGCAGCTGCCCACCTCTCCAGTCCACACCTCCTTCCTCTCTCTTCCGGACTTGACCCCAGCCTCCAGTCTGTTCCCTACATCGACACCACAGCAAACTCCCAGTGGTATCCCATCCCACCTAGAATAAAATTCAAACTCTACCGAGGCCCCTGAGGCCCTGCATGATCCCACCTCTACCTGTCCCTCCAGCCACATCTCCAGGCTCCTTCTCCAGCTCTAGCCTGTAGGCTTTCTGACAGTTCCGAGGACAAGCCACGCTTTTCCCATCCTGGGACCTTTGCAAATCTGTTCCCCCTGCCCGGAAGGCTCTCAGAATGACGATCACCTCACTGGCTGCTTTGAGTTTTTCACATCTCAGCTCCTGTGTCACCTCTTCAAGAAGGCCTTCCCTGACCATCCTCTCCAAAACAGCCTCCTGCTCCCCCTCCATCTTCTCTAACTGTGCTGAGCAAAGCTAAGCATAAAGGGTATAGGATGTACTGATAGCCCCATTAGAACTGGCTCCACAATAGCCATGGTGGAGAAAAGCAAAGCCTTTTCTCCAGGAGGCCCAGAAAAGAGGCCAGATGGTGCGCTCGGTTCAAGGCTGATGCATCCAGAGAGGACTTGTCCCTGTGACGATGACTTTCTCCCTGGCCTCTGGGATAAGGAAGAGTGTTCCCAGCTGGCCGCAGAGCAGCTTCCTGGTGGCCTCCTGCCATTCTTGGATGACCTCAGGGCCCAAGAATGGCAGCCTGAGCAGATAAGGAAGAGCAGGGGCCCCGCCTGCCTGGAAAGTCGATGTGCTGATGTGCCCGCAGGCCCTAGACCATCACTGCCTCCCTTCTCCCCCCACTGCATGACATTTGTTAAGTGCATTTCAGGTTGGGGCATCTGACATTTATTAGGTGCATTTCAGGTTGGGTCAGTTGTCTTCCACTGCCACACACCTGAAAGATTATTCACTTTCCCTTCAGTACCTGGACCAACCGTGACTTTGATCCTCAGCAGGGAATATGCCCCCCTCACTTTGAGAATGAGTCAAACAGGACCCCTCCAGCCCCACCACAGGTGCCAGCCTCAGCCAGGGCTGCTATCTGAGCCCAGTTCCTTCCCCAGGGGCCCATGACCCAGGGGCTTCCATCTGAGGGTCAGACACCTTTGGTCCACTTGCTGCAGCCCTCCCTGGGAGTTTCTTTCCCTGCAAGAAGGAAGCTGCAAGTCCTCGGTGCCTTTGTAGAGCTGAGACCTCTCTGCGTGGAAGAAGAATACTACCCCCCCCCCGCCCCCACTCTACCCCAGATGCTTTTCCAGCTTCTCTTTGATGAGTCATGACTATCTCCTTCCTAGGGCAGGAGTTCCCAGAACCTTATTTTCCTTCATACATTTTTCTTTCTTCATCTAGTGCGGGGTTTCTTCTCCTTGGCACTATTTACACTGTGGGGTGGATAAGTCTTTGTTGCGGGGGAGAGGGCTATCCTGTGCCTTGTAGGATATTTAGCAGCTAGATGCCAGTAGCAACCTGCCCCTCGCCCTCCCCCAGATGTGACACCAAAAATGTCTCTAGATGTTTTTCAGGTTGGGTCCCTGAGGAAGCACGATGCCTCTCCCTAGCGCCCCACCCCATTGAGAATCTCTGAACTGGATGAGTAACACATGACAATTAGATGGAATTTCCCCACCAGGAAAAGGACCCTTGTTCCCCTATACCAGCTAGTCTCCTGGCTGTTCAGCCAGTGACTCAAATTTAACATATTACACAATTTTTCTGTGAACTAGATTTTTTTTTTCTCAGCGTGGTTTGAGGCTTTGCTCATATCACTTCCTTTCTAACCTAATCTGCCATTGCTGACTTTAAGATTGTAGAGAAAGAGGCACAGCCAGCTACAGGCACTCAGATAGACCGTGGAGAAGCCCCTTTCTCTTTTTAAAAAGTATTATTTATTTAGCTCTGTCGGGTCTCAGTTGCAGGGTGTAGGCTCAGCAGTTGTGGCATATGGGCTTAGTTGCCCTGAGGCATGTGGGATCTTAGTTCCTTGACTAGGAATTGAACTCCTGTCCCTTGCATGGCAGGGCAGCTTCTTAACCACTGGCCCCACCAGGGAAGTGTCCCCTTTCACTCCTGTGGCGGCCGTTTCCTCAGTCTGGGGCAGCAGCCTCTCGCCTGGGCCACAGTGGCAGCCCCCTGACTGGCTGCCTGGTTCCAGCCTTGCTGTCTCCATCAAGCCTTCTAAGGTGCACATCAGGTCATGCCACACCTTGGGCGAGACCTGTCAGCGGCTCCCTGAACTCTCAGGATAAAGGCCACGCTTCTGACCAGGATAGAGTCTGAGCTTCTCACCATTTGAGCCTCAGCCCTAGAGTCCTGGATGACCCAGCTCAGCTGACCTGTCCAGCCCCCTCTCCCCCTTCCTCACATGCACCCCCTCCAGGGTCCAAGGGTGGCTGAACCACTTGCAGCCCGCAGAGATGCACCAGACTCCCACGTTTCTGGTCCCTTCTGTGCACGGCCGTCCTCCCTGCCTGACATTCTCCTTCCCGACTTTCCCTCTAAACCCTATTCCTCCTACAAAACCTGACTGAGCATCCCTTCCCTGGGGGCCACCCCCACCCCTCCACTGTGCACACACAGGGCTCTTTCTGTCCTGACTGCAGAAGATGTTTATCCTGCTCCACCTGAACTTCTCATTGACTTCCCGCTAATCCCTCTTAGACCCAGGGCTTCTTGAAGACAGAAACTGCCTCTCACTCAAGTCTGTATCCCCATGCCTCTGACAGCCGGCCAGTCCTCTTTAAGATACATTCTTTGGTTAGCTGTGCAAATAACCACACTTGCTATGTGTCCTCTACCAGGCGGCTCCACAGAGCTCTGCAAACATTGCATGTTTATCTTATCATTCTTCTTCCAGAGGCAGATTGTTTCAGGCCCCCCTCCTTTCCCTCGCTTTCGCTCCCCCTTGCCCTTCTACATCTGCCATGCATTCATTCATTCACATGAATATTTACCGAGTGCCACCTTTATGCCAGGCATTGGGTCAAAGGGCTCCTCTGTCCATACAAAATGCTTCCAGTAATTAGGCTGACATTCTTCTAAACGCCGCCCCTCCCTGTCCACGATGTGGCTACTTAGGGCTTGCTGGTACTTCAGAACATGACTGGGAAGCCTTGAAATCTGACCAGAGGGCCTGGGTTAAAGAGGCTATTCCATCCAGTCATGAAAAAACCCAGTAAACTCCCCCAGCCTCCCCCCTCCAAAAAGTAGTCAGCAAACCTCTCTACTAACAGGAATGCTAGTGTCCACCAGATTTGGCCTGTCAGTCTGACTGTACTCCTTTGCTTTTGGCTGGAATTAAATCCGTGACGCGCTCACCTACAGCTGGTCTCGTCCTAATTAGAAGGTCTGATTGTCACTCACAGGTCTTTGGTTAATAGGAACACAACAGCAAATAGTCTTTCAGAAGCACACGGACAGCTTCTTTTTCTTTTGAAAATAAGACACTCTGAGTTGTACTCTTCAAGAACTTTTCAACAGAATGATGAGGCAAAGTTCCCTTCTCAGCCTCCTCTTTCCTGTTTGATGCCTTAAACTCGGGACGCCTACATGCTGGTCCCATCAAAACTTTCTGCTTTAGAGTCGGCCCTGCTGACGTGTGGCCCCAAAGAGTCAAGATTCACTCACACAGCTTCACAGAGCAGCAAGGAAGGGGCTTGTCTGCAGAACCTTGCCTCAGGCTCCAGGTTCCAGTAGTCAGGAGTCATCCGTTTATAAGGAATTCAAGAAAAGAAGGTTGAAGGAACAGAGAAATTAAGGAGGGAATGTTCATAGCCTGGCCATAGAAACACATGATCTGGGCTGCCATAACAGCCAAGGGCTCGGGGGCTTCGAGGATGGCCAGGAGTAAAAGGAAAGGTTCGTTCCAAAGGGGGAACTAGAAGGGAGGTGCCCTGGTAGTAGGGGAAATACTCCCACTGGAAGACTTCAGTTCTCAGATTTAATTTTCATTCTCTTACTTTCTTCGTGGAGGCACCATTGGTTTGTAATGTCATGCAAGTTTCACGTTACAACGCTCGATTTCTACTTCCGTATGCACGACAGCATAGTTGGTTCCCATCCATCAGCACACAGTTGCTCCCCTTGATTCATGTTGCCCCCTCTGCCCTTCCCCCTCTGGTAGCCACTACTCGGTTTTCTGTATCGTGTGCATGGTTTGTCCATTTACTTTGGTTTTTGCTTTTTTTCAATTGAGGTATAGTTAATTTACAATGTTCTATTCAAGTGTATACTTAAGTCATTCAGTGAGATATATATATATGTATACACACACACACAGATATGGGTTTCCCTGGTAGCTCAGCTGGTAAAAAAAAATCCACCTGCAATGCAGGAAACCCTGGTTCAACTCCTAGGTCAGGAAGATCCCCTGGAGAAGGGATAGGCTACCCACTCCAGTATTCTTGCCTGGAAAATCCCATGGGCAGTGAAACCTGGTGGGCTACAGTCCATAGCATCACAAAGAATTGGACATGACTGAGCACAGCACAGTATAAGATACTGAGTATAATTGCCTGTGCTGTACAATACATACTTGTTTACCTATTTTATATATAGTGGTGTTTATGTGTTAAGCCCAACCTCCTAATTTATCCCCCTCCCCCCACCGTTAATATCCCCTCTGGTAACCATAAGTTTTTTAATGTCTGTGAGTCTATTTCTGTTTTATAAGTAAGTTCATTTGTATCATTTTTTTTTAGATTCCACATATAAACAATATCATACGGTATTTGTGTTTGACTTACTTCACTTAACATGATAATCTCTATGTCTATCCATATTGCTGCAAATGACATTATTTCATTCTTTTTTATGGCTCATATACCATTATATATATGTACCACATCTTCTTTACCCATTCATCTGTCAATAGACATTTAAGTTGCATCCATGTCTTTTATATTTCAAAGATGAATGAAATCATACAGTATTTGTCTTCCTCTATCAGACTTGTTTCACTTAGCATAATACCCGAAAGGTCCATCCATGTCATTGCAAATCTCAAATTTTCGTTCTTTTTATGGCTGAATAGTATTCCATTGTGTGTATGTATGTGTGTGTATGTATATATAACATATATATATATATATATATATCTTCTTTATCCACTCATCTGTTGATGGACACTTAGATTGCTTCCATATCTTGGCTATTATAAATAATGCTACAGTAAACATAGGGGTACATATCTTTTCTAATTACTGTTTTGGTATTTTTTGGATGAGCACCCAGAAGTAGGATAGCTGGGCCCTCTGTTAATACTTCTCTTCTTAATTTTTTGTGGGATCTCCATACTGTTTTGCATAGCGGCTGCACCAATTTACATTCCAATGAATAGTGCACAAGAATTTCCTTTTCTCCACATCTTTGTTAATCCTTATAGTTTCTTGCCTTTTTGATAATAGGCATTCTAACAGGCATGAGGTGATATCTCATTGTGGTTTTGATTTGCATTTCCCTAACAACTAGTGATGTTGAACATCTTTCCCCATGCTCATTGCCCATCTGTATGTCTTCTATGGCTTACTTTCTTATTCCTGACTCTTTCCCCACCGCTGTCTATAGATGGAAGCCGAACTGGAGCGTTTCCATAAGCAGAACACACAACTGGAGCTGAACATCATAGAACTGTGGCAGAAATTAAGAGCCACTGATCAGGAGATGCGCAGAGAGAGACAGAAGGTGTGAGAATTTTCAGAGTCTGGCAGCTCTTGGATGCAAGAACTGGCACCTGTCTGCAATGGGCAGCTGACTTCCAAGAGACAGAGCCAGCCCATCGCTAAGTTACATTCCTATTTTAACTCGCATTCTTTACTTGCTCATAACCCTGCCCTACTTGAGGCTCATGTAAATTTATGTGACTGAATCCATCTGAGACTATAAAATGACTTTGGGTAGAGCAGTCAAGGAGGCGGAAGACAGTGTTATGAGGATGCTTACAACACCGGCTTGTGTGGCCTGGGGAGGGGCATGCTCAGAGAGGTCCTCTGTAGCAGGTGGTTAAAGGCTTGACCACCAAAACAGTGCTGAGCTCAAAGGACCTCAGAGATCGCCTGTTCTGGTCTCTGTATGTAATAAACAAGGAAAGCAAGCTCAGAGAAATTATGAGATTAGAAACTTCACCCAGCACCCATAGCTGTTTAGCACATAGAGGCCAGTCAGTGCTGGAAACCCAGTCTTCTGGTCCTGGGCCAGGACTTGGCTGCACCCCTACCCCCTGGTGGCTCAGACGATAAAGCGTCTGCCTGCAATGCGGGAGACCCGGGTTCAGTCCCTGGGTCTGGAAGATCTGGAGAAGAAAATGGCAACCCACTCCAGTGTTCTTGCCTGGAAAATCCCATGGACGGTGGAGCCTAGTAGGCTACAGTCCATGGGGTCACAAAGAGTCAGACACGACTGAGCAACTTCACTTTCACTTCACTTTCACCCCCTTGCACAGAGTACCTCATAGTGTTGGTAGAATCAGATTGAACTTTTCCATCTCCCACATCAAGCCTTGATTCTGGACTAGATAATACTAGAAGCTACAGAGCTATCAATGTGAACTGACACAGATCCTGCCCTTTCCAAATGGAAGAGGTTGACAGGTGGTTTATGATGTGTGCATAATAATTAACCGTGCAAGGTAGAAAATTATGGAGCATGATTAAATGGGCTGTAGGGGCAGAGAGAGAGAAGAGGCTCTCTAGGTCAAGGGTAGGGGAAGATGGGTATCTGGGACAACATGGTGGAAGAGCCCAAATTTTCAGATGAACCATTCTGCCCAATTTTGTCATTATCTTCCCTTCCCACATAGCAACCCTCAGGAAGGAGAAGCACTGGATGAGCTAACTAGGGGGCAAGAAAGCTCCAGCCTGGGATCCGCACAAGGGAATCAATGCTCTCCATCCTGGCTCTGAAAGGAGTAGGTGACCAGTGGTACCTCCTTTAGTCTCTTAGGGCCTGTGGTCCTGAAAGAAATCCAGAGCCAGTAAAGAAATCCATGTGTGCAGCCTCTTAAGGATGCGAAACCTTTCAGGCCAGGGGCATGGGAGGTCAGTGCCTCCCCCGCTGGCCTGTGTGCCCCTCCTGGTCTCTGGACCCCATGTGGCCCCTGGCGGTCAGTGATGAGTCCCAGAGGTGTTTATTGTCCCTTTAAGCAGCCGCAAGGCTGCAGCCTCTGTCCCTGGAGAGTCCCTTGCAGGGCCAGAAATAAATGCCTCTGCTCGCAGGAGCGGGACTTGGAGGCGCTGGTCAGACGGTTCAAGACGGACCTCCACAACTGCGTGGCCTACATCCAGGAGCCGCGGCAGCTGAAGGAGAAGGTCCGCGCTCTCTTTGAGAAGTACGTGCAGCGGGCAGATATGGTGAGCTCTGCCTCCCAGCCCTGCCTCCCCTGTCCTCTGGGCTCTCTTCTCCCTCGTGGCTAACCCCTTCTGCCCTCTCAGGTGGAGATCGCGGGGCTGAACTCAGACCTGCAGCAGGAGTACGCCCGTCAGCGGGAACACCTGGAGAGGAACCTGGCCACTCTCAAAAAGAAGGTGGTCAAGGAGAGCGAGCTGCACCGCACAGATTATGTCCGCATCATGCAGGTACCCACACGTGCCCTCGGAGACCACGCCATCAGAGATGAGAAAGTCTGCTCAGGGCCCCTCCGAGACCACTGTCCTTGGGGCTCCCCCAGTGTCCAAGGGGGCCACTAGCTTTCTCCAAAGTTCCTTCTTTGACTCATCTCCTCTGACCTCCCAGAGCTCATCCTGGCAGTGACCATGGCTCAGAACCCCACCCAAGGAGGTTTTCTCAGCATTTCCATGCCCACTCCTGCCCTTCCAAGGCCCATTCATTTCTGCCCCATCTCACTTCCCCAGGCACCTGTTTTTCTTTCCACCCCCTCATCTTCATGCAAAGCACTCCTGCACCCTGCCTCACTCCCCTCCTTGACCCCGGTTTCCTCTGGACCTGCGTCCGCATGACTTTAGCTCTCCGAGTCACTCCCTCCATCTCCTCTTTTCTGTTTCCCACTCTTGTTTCACCTTACTTAGTTCTGCTGCTTTTTAGTCTGCTACGTGTACCGTATGGTCCCTGCTGGCCAAGTCCTCTCCTGGGAGCACGCCTGTCTCTTCCCACCTCCTCTGGCTTTTCTGATGCCTCAGGTCCCTGCTGTTCTCTTGGGTCTGGAGCCAGACACACCCACCCTATGGGTTGTCCTCCGCCTGATTTAATGAGGCCTCCCAGGACCCTTCCTCGGGCTATTCAGAGAGCCTAACCCCATTACTACTGCTTCCATTCAAGTGCACTTTCAGGACTGCCAGGCAGGATTCTGCTGCCAATTTCTATCTGGGTATCAGTATCATCTGAGGCAGTTAATGTGAATTAATAGTAAGAGAAAACATCAGAATTACATTTATAAGGCACATATCTTTTAACGTTTGTATTTCTTTAATGCTATAATTTAAATACCGGAATGGGGATGAGCTACAGTTGGACTGAAACAAATCAGTTCGGAACACAGCTGGGAAGAGCACAGTGCAGTCTAGGCCAGACCCAGGCGTGGTGGGCCTCATGCCACCTTCCAACCAGCCCCTGCTTAAAAGCAGCCCACGGCCCAGCTCCTGAGTCCTGAAAGCAGCCAGAGGCCCAGAGATGGGAGTGGATCCAATGGATGGGAGTCTTCGCAGCAGCTGATACACAGAGCCATTGCTAGGGGTCTTGAGTGTTCCCAAGCCTGGAGAGCCCCCGTAGGTGCTGCAATGCAGCATGCAGGGCAGGGGGACCAGGGGGACTGCAGGAGAGGTGGTCAGCTGGTGACACTGCTGAGCTCCCATCTGTGATTTACCACCAGAGCACAGGCGGAGGGGGTCCTCCAGCGGCTGGGTTCCTCACTCTCTGCCAAGCAGGCCCCCAGAGCAAGTGTCAATCCTAGGAGAAGAAGGAAAAGGAAAGAGAGCGGAGACCACAGGATAGATAGGAGTACGAGCCTCAGCAGGAGGCTGGCAGAAGGTCCCCCTTTGGCTCCCCCGTCCCCCAGGGACTGCCTGCCCACTCCTGCTGAGCCAGGGTGAGAGTCAGGGGAGCAGGAGCAGAGGGAACCCACGCAGAGAACCCCGATGGCAGCAGCAGAAGCCGTCAACAGGGAGCTCCCCGGAGAGTGTTTGCTGCAGCAGCTCCGTAAGCCTGTGTGCCGCAGAGCCCTGCAGATGCAGAGAAGTCCACAGACAGCCGCAGGGGGCAAGGGGGCTCGGCACGGGGCTCAGGACGCAGGGCTCTGGGGCCCCACCATCCCCTCAACCAGGAAGACGCCTTGCTTACTTCAGTGGGCTCTGTGTAAGACTTTGTTTGAAAGACATAAAAAAAAACTTTCGAAACCTCTATTCTAAATGATAAAAATTGTTTCCTTCTTTGATCTTAAGGGCCAGGCAAGGTGTTGGGGGCGACGAAGCATAGCCTTGTCTCAGTTCAGAACCGGTTTATCCTCCTGCTAGCCACTCTTGCTGGCAGGTTCGGGGGAGGGGAGATGACACTTCAAATTCTCCAGGAGCCACCTTCCTATCTGTACAAAGAGGAGAAGATGCCAACCTCAGCCAGTGACTGCGAGGATTGAATGAGCTAACTAATGTAAAGCATCAGGCACTGGCCCTGTACAGAACAGGGGTTCTAAAAATGCAGTTTTCCTTCCCTTCTCCTGAGCAAAAGACTTACTCAAAAACCAAGGCAAAATCCAGTAGGAGAGCCTAGAAGTCCATCACAGCATGGACTGGGGGTACCCGGGAGCTGGGGGCATAGGAGACAGCATGATGCAGCCAATTCCAGACCTCCCAGCTGGTGACCTGGGGCACCCACTGCCTTGATACACGTATGTAAGGAACTGCGTCTACAGGAACCAAGGCCCTGACACTTAAGTCTCAAAGGGCCGAGGAAGGCTGGGGCAGACATGGCATCTGAGAGAAACTTGTTAGAAGACACAGAAAATGAAGTCAGTGTTTCATTTGTATGTTCAGACAGGAGCACTTGTCATTCATTCTCATGCATGCTTGCAGATATGAAAATAGGATTTGCAATAGAATACAAATATCTAGGACACATACTTTATTCATTCAGGACACATATTTTGCGGGTTTCTCACATGCCAAGCTACAGGCTGACTGTGGAGGATTCCCAGATGAATGTGAAGACTTGCCTACTCTCATGGGGCTCACCTAGGGAAGTGGAGCCAGACACAAGTAATCACTGCTCCACACCAGGCATGTAGTCCGGCCAGCTCACTGGAGAGGTGGGCTTCAGCTAGGGGGCGTGGCATTTGAGCTAGGCCTTGAACGGTGAGTAGAGGGGGTAAAGGAGCAATTGAAGAAGAACCTTCTAGGCCAAGGATACAACCTGAGAACAGTCAGAGAAGATTGAGACCTTTGGGGTGTTTGGAGACCCCGGAATCCTCTGACCTAACTTTATAGCAGAGCATGGCAGCAAGGAGAAAGGGCCTGCTGGAATGGTAGGTAGCTTAGGGTCACGATGAAGGGGCTTTTTGTGTCACACCAAGAAGCATGCAGTTTATCTTATAAGCTGGTGCCACCCAAGTTTTAAGTAGGTAGGGGTGTTATCTGTTCTGGAAATGTTACCTCTGTGGGCAGAAGGGAAAGACCGGTGGGGAAAGGCAGGTGGCAGGAAAACCCTTTAGAAGATGACTCTCATGTTAAAGAGAGATGCCAGGCCTTGGGAGGGAAGGTTGTGATGTCAGAAGACATCTCAGAGTAGAGATGATGAGTAGAAGTGTCAGGTTGGATGTGAGAGGAAGGCTGAAAGAGAAACAGAGAAATGGTTCACTTGTGCATTTAGGCAAGTGGCGACCCCACAAGCTGTGGGCTCGGGAAGGATGCCACTGGATGCAGGGCTCCCAAGTTTCTGAAATAAATCGTTGCCTGCTTTTTGCACACTAACCAGACACTGCTGTATTCTTAAAGATGTCAACCCAAGGTAGGCCAGTAGGGGGTGCTCTAGGCATTTCCTCTCCATGCCCTTCTTCCTGGGAGTCTGAAGTTCAATGTCATTCCCATCTGGAGCTTTCTGGCATTGTCCTCAACTGAAGGCAGTCCTGGACAGCTTGGCATAGCCTCTTCATCCAGAAGGCTTTCTATCTAAACAGACCTTGGCATCCCTGAGCGTGTCTCTTTCACATACCCCAAGTCCTGGTGCTCAGCGGATCAAGGTCAGATTTTCCCTGCCAGAGGAGCTGTTGGGGGTGGGGCGGAGGGTAGCTCTGAAGGATTAGAGGAGTTCTTGTAAACCATCCTGACCAAGGAGGGATCCGGAACAGAAGGCTCAGCAAATCTGTTGCATTCACATTTTAATTTCACAAAACTACTCAAGGCTTATACAGTTGACCTCAGTGTGACCTCTGGACCCCCAGAACATGGGCCACCCCAGAAAGCCCTCTGGTACTTTTGTAGTAAGGCAGCCCCACTTGTACTTCTCCAAGCTTCCTTGGCCATCATCCTATGTGAGGTGTGGATGGAGGTGATACACATCAGTGGTGAGAGAGCAGAGCCTGGGAGGTGCCTGTGGGCAGACACAACCAGATCTGAATCCCAGCTCTGCCCTCAATGCACAGCCTTGGATTCCTCTTCTGAAACTGAATCTCATTACAACTTCCTCGTAAGGTGGTTGTATAGATCAATGATGTCGTGTATGCAAAGTATATGATACAGTGCAGGAATCTAGTCAGCTGTGAAGTTATTGTCTTATTGTTATCATCATCAAGGGCTTCCCTGATAGCTCAGTTGGCAAAGAATCCCCCTGCAGTGCAGGAGACCCCAGTTCCATTCCTGGGTCGGGAAGATCCACTGGAAAAGGGATATGCTACCCACTCCAGTATTCTTGGGCTTCCCTCGTGGCTCAGCTGGTAAAGAATTAGGTGGCTCAGTGCTTGCTCCCTCTTAGCTCTGGGCCTGAAACACTCTTCCCTGCCCCCTGCCTCCACAGGGAGGCTTCCTTACATTGGTGACCCCCCACTCACTCTTGCAGGGCATCTCTCTACATTGGATCCACGCTGGACCCGCATGTCTGGCATAATAAGCACCTAATAGGCTTCCCATTTTTATGAATGAATGAACAGAGCGGAGGAATCAGGTTGTGCTGAGTCCTGGGCCTCAGTGATGCTCTAGTGAAGACTGAGCCATGTTCTAGAGACCCATCTAGGAGGCCAGTCTCATAGTGGTGTCCAGAGCTGGCAGTGGGGTCAGAAATGTGTAAATCAAAAGGTTGCAGCCAGAGGTCCCAGTCATGGCGACACGGTTGTCAAGGTGGAGGGAATGGCAGGGGCTCCACGTGGGGCCACCACAGTGGCAGAGGAGAGATGCTGAGAGCTGGTGATGAATGAACACGAAATTCAGTTCAGACACAAAGTCGACAGGGTTGAGTGACAAGATGAATAGAGATTGCCTGGGAAGAAGTACCTTAAAATGTTTCTGAAAAGAACTGGGGAAATGGCACTTTTAGTCTCTGATCTTTATTCTGATAACTATTACTTTATTGAATGAGGCAGAGGAAGTGAAACTAAGTGACATCAATTAAGAGGAGGTGTGGAGAGAGCCCCTGAGCGGGCTGGTATCTCCAGGGGCTCCCTGGGGCTCTCTGAAGACTCCTTTCTATCTGGTATCCCCTGACTTTACCCCCTGATTTCTAATTTCCTCATTAGGAACATTCATCTTATTCACCTTGGCATCTTGCATTAGGTATTCATTTGCTTATCCCTTCCACAAATATTTATTAAGAACCTCTTATGGGTCAGGCAGAGTCCAAGGTCTTAGAATCCAATGAATACATATTTAATTCATTATGTCATGATATAAAGTCAGCAGGGAGGAAACCAAGCATCTGGAAAGAAAATGTGGGCTGTGCATCTCCAAGATTTGAGCTGTTTAAAGGGGTTAAAAATGAGGAGAAAACCTGCTGATTTTATCAAAAAATAGGCACAAAGCTGAGCCTGAGAGAACAAAGGAGTGGCAATAATTGGGCATTTCATCCAAGAGGGAGAACATTTTTTTTTTTAATGAGGAATAGTGAAATTAAGTGATATACTATAACTCTGAAGGCAGATATGACCTGCTTAGATGACGAGGCGCTGGAGGGAGGGCCTGCCAGGGTATCTGCAATTCACATCCTCATAACAGAGAAGGCTTATCCCACTAGCTGGGAGCAGCGCTCAGGATCACCCTGTCCTCTGGGCTCAGACTCCCCACTCGCCACTCTGAAGATGGAGTCCCAAGCTGAAGCACAGCGTGTTTCCGGAACTGGTCCATCTTAGGTAGATTTGGCCAGTATTTGCTGTGTCAGTTCAGTTCAGTTCCTAGGAATCCATCCTGGTCATTCAGGCAGGGCTAAGTGCCTTTGCTCTGTGTCCTACTCCTCCATCCCAGTAAGGTGGCCACCTCACTAAAGTGTGCCCAGACCCCTCACTAAACCCTAAGCTCTTCAAGTAATGAATGGAAAAAAGCCAAGTGTAGAACAGCACTGAAGAGCTCTGAGCTCCGGGGCTGAGCTGGGTCAGAATCCTGGCTCTGCCACATGTTATCTGTATAATTTGGGTAAGTTATATCACCTCTCTCTGCCTCGGTTTTCTCGGCATTCTGTGATTGTAACAGAATCTATGCATAGGGTTACTATGAAACTTCAGTGCATTAAGTCCATAAAAAGTCTTGTTGTCACTACTGATGGGAAGAGCCTAGATGGATGGGAATGGTGCATACTGTCTGTATCTTACATTGCCAAAGTCCACCTGAAGGTGAGTCAGCTGATACCTCAAGAGACCAATCCATGAGCCAGAATAAAGATTCATGCTACCAGAGGAACCAGAGATGTAATCTGGATCCAGGACCAAGCCTAACCTTCCCCACACCCTCAGCCACAGGCCAGGGGAGGTCCTGTGCCCGCTGGTCACTTGTCCATCTACACTCACTCTCTCCTCCTCCTTTTCTATAGGAAAATGTCTCCCTGATCAAGGAGATTAATGAGCTCCGCAGAGAGCTGAAGTTCACCCGCTCCCAAGTCTATGACCTTGAAGCATCTCTGAAACTGACGAAGAAAATTCAACCAGAGGTTTCAGAGACAGGTAATGTCACCAGTGGCCAAGAAAGATAGGCACTGGGATCCAGGGGCCAGAGGCAGCCACGAACAGGTCTCCTCTTGGCTTCCAAAGCTGCCTCTCCCAAGCTTCCTCCTGCATCAGGTCACACCCACCCCATGGCCTCCTGGGCACCTCTGCATGCCACACGCCCATTCCCCAAAGGCTTTGTGAGGACCCTACCGCATTCAAACACTTAAAAATCCAAAATCCTTGGGGTTAGCTAAGGTTTCAGAATTCAGGATCATTCAGATCTTAGGAAGAACATACTATATATATTATACATTACATAACATCCCTAGAGTAGTCTGGGGCAGTGCCCTGAAATCAAACATATTAGTCTTTCTGTAGTGAAACATATGAATATTCACACAAGTTCATGAATCTGAAATGCTTTCCGTTTTTAAAGTTTTTAGCATTTTACAATTGTGGGTAAAGGATTGTGGATCTGTACAAAGAAAATAAAGGCAAAAAGAAGGACCAGAAACTATTTAAAGGGAGAGTGGGAAGAATGACCCTAGAATGTTAAACAAGTTAGTTATTGCAGTTATAAAGTTCCTCTGAATTTCTGATAGCTAAGACAAAAAGGGAAAAAATATAATAGTTTATATAGCTCTCATATGGAGAAAGGATGTTTTTTCTGGAGAAGCAAACCTTTCTCTGGTACTAAATTCTATGAGAAACTTAATATATGGAGCCTTATGTATTATATATAATACATAAGCCTTATAATATATATAAAATTGTGTGTGCATGCTAAGTCACTTCAGTCGTGTCTGACTCTTTGCGAGACTATGGACTGTGTAGCCTGCCAGGCTCCTCTGTCCATGGGATTCTCCAGGCAAAAATATTGGAGTGGGTTGCCATGCCCTCTTCTGGGGGATCTTCCCTACCCAGGGATCGAACCTACATCTCCCACAGTTCTTGCATTGCAGGCAGATTCTTTACCCTTGAGGCACCAGGGAGGCCCATATATATGATCATATATATAGACTTGTCTCACATGCCATTTTTGTTCGAGTTGAAGAGAAGTTGAGAGATTCAACTCTGTGAGTAGTACCAGAACAGTATCAGCTCTAAGAACTGACATGAAAGTACCACATGTGTTAACACGGCTGAGAGCCTGACTTCTTGGAGGTGAACCCATCTTCAGTTAGAAGTGGTGCATAGATGCATCTGTGAATAATTGCAGAACTTCTCTTTTAAAAAATATTTCAAATATGCCCAAGCAGTGTAGCAAATAACTGCTTGAGACCTCCTCAGGACGCTGTATGATATAGCCAGGTTCTTCTTACTGCTGCTGGTTGGCCAAAAAGTTTTTTGGGGTTTTTCCATAAGCACTTCAGAAAACTCTTAACAAAACTTTGGCCAACCCAATACAATGGAAACTGTCAGACACAGACAGAAATTAAAAGAAAAGTCTAATGAATTTCCACAAATCCATTCCCCCAACTCAGACAAATGTCACCTCCTATCACTCTTGCTTCTTTGGTATCTCCAGCCCCTGCCCCAACCCAGTTATTTCCTCCCTTATCCACAGTAGGTTATTCTGAAGCAAGTCAAACATCATGTCACTTGTTTCATAGAGCTTTACTCAAGGGAGATTTCATCTCTAATAGTTGAAGACAGGTATTACCAGTTGTCTGCCTTGAAATGAAGAAGGCTGGCTTCTGATTTGGAACATGGTGCCACCAAAACAAGTTAGCCCCAGATACACATTCCCAAGTTGTTTAAAATTAACCAGTTCATTTATTAATAGTTTGAAACTAGGCAAAGGCAAGTGATGCCGGCCCCAGAAGGTGGATGGGCTGAGAGGCCTTTGTGAGCTATCCCTTCCCCCAGTTGATGCTCTCCCCAGGCTCCAGGGCTTGACTGAGGAAGTGGTTACCAGGAACACTGAGTAACACACGGAGGATGAAAGGTCAAGAGTCTAGAAGAAATCAAGAGCCTCGAAAGATCAAGAACCTAGGAACGGCAGCAAAAGACAAGACAGAAGGAGCAAAGGCAGAAAGAGAAGGAGCCAGACTTCCCCTAAAAAGGTTGAATGCTGAATGCTGGCCTCATCAGACCAACTAGAGGTCCAAGGCAAGGCTGCCCACTGGCCACTGCTGACCACTTCCTCTTTGGTTGGCTATCTCTGTCTTCTTTGGCCATCATCATCTGTTCTTTTCTACTTTTTCCTCCAGGGAAGGGGTCTGCAGTGGATAGGAAAGAGACCCCTCTCCCACTGAGAGAGAAGCTTGACTGTGGTACGGGAGCTGGAGACATAGTTTCTCAGTGCAGAGGGTGGCAAAGTCATTCATTAAGGGCAGAGGAGAGGGTGGATTTGACAATTTCCTGGATATGATGCCAAAAGCACAGGCAACAAAAGAAAAAAGTATAATAAATGAGACTGTCAAAATTTAAAACTTCTGGGCATCAGAGGACACAAACACCATTAAGAAGAGGAATAGCAAGCCTCAGACTGGGAGGAAATAGCAAGACATGTCTGAGAAAACTCTGGCATCCAGAATATATAGAGAACTCCTACAACTCAAAAAAAAAAAAAAAAAACCCACCTGACTGAAGAATGGGCAAAGGATTTAAACACTTTTTTCCCAAAGAACAAACACAGATGGCCAACAGGCACATGAAAAATGCTCAGTATTACTAACAATTAGGGAAATGAAATCAAAGACGCAGTGAGACACTGCCTCACACACATTTGGATGGCTACTATCAACCAAACCAAACCAAAAAGAACAAAAACAAACAAAAAAAACCCCAGAAAAGACTAAGTGTTGACAACGGTCTAGAGAAACTGAAACACTGATGTACTGTTGGTCTGAACGTAAAGCAGTACAGCCACCATGGAAAATAATAAGGTGTTTTCCTCAAAAAATTAAAAATAGAACTACCATATGAACCAGAAATTGCACTTCTGGGTTTATACCCAAAAGAAGTAAAAGCAGGGTCTCAAAGAGATATTTGTATGCTTATGTTCACAGTGGTGTTACTCACCGCCAAAAGGTGGAAGCAGCCCAAATTTCCATCAACAGATGAGTGGATAAATAAAATGTGCGTGCATGCTAAGTCACTTCAGTCGTATCCGACTCACTGCAACCCTTTGGACTGTAGCCCACCAGGCTCCTCTGTCCATGGGACTCTCCAGGCAAGAATACTTGAGTGGGTTGCCATGCCCTCCTCCAGGGGATCTTTCCAACCCAGGGATCAAACCCAAGTCTCCTGCAGCTCCTACACTGCAGGCAGATTTTTTACCGCTGAGCACCAGGGAAGCCCTAAACTGTGGTATAGAATGCAATGAACTATTATTCAGCCTTAAAAAGGAAGGAAATTCTGACATGTAACGTAGATGAACCTGAGGACATTATGCTAAGCCAGACACTAAAGAACAAATACCATATGATTCCACTGATCTGAGCTACCTAGGGTCGTCAGATTCATAAAGACATAAAGCAGAATGGTGGCTGCTGAGGCTGCAGGCAAGGAAGCCTCGGAGCTGTATAATATGTATGAGGTTTGAGTTTTTCAAAATGAAAAGAATTTTAGAGACTGATTGCACAAGTGTGGATGTACTTAACACTACTAAACAGTACACTTAAAAATGGTTAAGAGAGTAAATGTGATGTTGTATAGACTTTATCACAATTTTCTTTCCAAGTGGGAGAAAGGAGTTGGAGTCGGGATTGAAGTTCCTGAGTGCCACTGTGGGGTATGAGAGTTTGCTGATGTACACAAAGTCCGTCTCTTGGAAACCAAGAATTCGACTCTCACGTGTTACTTTTTCTGGTAGTGTGCAGCAGGCCAGATGTGAAATTGGAAACCCTGGATGGTCGGGTTATCTCGGGTTTGGGCTAGGCAGGGTACCTGGGGGAAGAGCAACAGGGCGTCTAGAATACCAAAGTTGCTGTCATGATGATAGAAGAAACTCACCATGGGTCTAACTGGACAGAAAAGGGAGTGAATCTAAGAGGAGCCCATTTGGTGGGTAAAACATGGAGTTGTCCAAAAAGATGAAGTCTCAATTCAGCCAAAGAAGAGGTGAATGGAGCACTGGAGTGAAACACCCTGGACGTAACGAGGGAAGGGAAGGTACAGAGCTGGTGGGCAGACCAAGCACGTCAATACCGAAAGTTGGATCTTGTGAGGCCAGGCAGTGGGATGAGCCGTGGGCACCAGCATTCCCAGGAGGAGGGCTGAGAGTCTCAAGGGACATCCTCAGGGAACATGCGTGAGTGACCACAGCCAGAAGCGTCTCCAGGAGCAGGGTTATGTGAAGACAGGCAGCCTGGAGGCCAAGCTGCGTCCACAGGGAGAGCGGCACCCTCTCTCTGGGGGGGTGTGGGGGTGTGGGGGATGAGCAGCACGCATGGAGGGGCCTCAGGCGCAGACAGACTGGGGGGATCAGAAGACAGGCCGGGCTGAGGTCAGGCTCTGCATTTGCCTTCTCACTCCAAAGCGTGTCTCTTCACTTCTCCACTGCTAGACAGCGAAATGGCTCCTCTCTTTATTCCTAGCATCTGGGATGGAGTGTCTACCCCATAGTAGGTGCTCCATGAATGTGTACAGGGGTGGGGGTAGGGGCTGGTGGGGGAAGAAAGGATAAGCCGCTTTCAAAAACCTTTGCAGCAGTCCGGGAACAGATCTCCCAAGCCTAACCCTGCCCTGTCCCCTGCAGTGTCCACTGAGGACTTGCCCAGTGTCCCTCCCACCATGAGGTTGAATGTGCAGGAGGAAACTGGGAGAATCATCGAGATGCAGCGCCTGGAGATCCAGCGCCTGAGAGACCAGATCCAAGAGCAAGAGCAGGTCCCTGGCTTCCACCCCCTGGCTGGGGTGCAGCTGCCGTCCCTCAGCGTAGAAGCGGATTCAAAGGCCCAGACCAAGTGACACCCTCTGATGAGACGTCTCCAGCCACTCCGGAAGGTGCGCCATGCTCCTGTCCTGGACTGTCTCTGGGCTGCAACCCAGACCACACGAACCTCTCCCCCAGGCGCGGGGGAACATGGGACACAGGCAGAATAAAGGTGTTGGCCCACAACCACATCCAACTCTCCACTTAGCCACGGAGCCGGGGAGAGGGGAAGGGAAAGAGGAACCCTGAGGCCCAGGTGGCTTCTGCTCACCCAAAGCCGCCGCTGGCAACCCCTGTCTGGACACCCGGCTGCCCACCCCTGCAGAGATCCCATGCCCCTCCCCGCACCGGGCCTCAAGGGCAGGACTGTCTGTCACTTCTGACCTTTCTCCTCTGCCAGCTGTGTCAGCATCAGACAAACCTTCCTACGTTTTCTTCTCATTTATGAAACCTAGGGAGGTTTTCTGAGAATTTTCACATCTCTGTGAAAGTGAGGGTACCATCAAGAACACAGCACAGTTGGTAGCGTTCCCCAACGTCTTCCATCACCTGTGGACCCCGGTGGTAGGACTATGCTCAGAGCTCTGCCCTCCCTTTTCTTACCCTCCATGCCTCTCTGCACTTGTCATTCTCAGTCTGCAGGGCCCTGCCCCGCTCCTCCATTTCTGGGGGGTGCCTTTTCCCCACGACCCCTGTACTGGCTGGCCCAGCCACACACACCAGGAAAGGTGGGTTTGTTTTTTTTTTTTGAAAGGTGGGTTTTTATGCACTAAGAACACAGATGTTCTGTCTTCTCCCACCTGCAGAGGTCAGACACCCTTCTAATACCCAAATAACAAATATTAAGCCCCCAGCCTCTGCTGGCCCCACTGGTTGTCTTAAACCTGGCATCTCCAAGGCGTCTCCCCATCTTTCCCAATCTGCTTTACCCCAACTCTGGGCACTGCTCCTGAGTTAGTTTTCTAAGTAAGAGCTGAGACAGAGCTGTCAAGCTTGCCGAGGCTCTCCCGAAGGCTGAGAACAAAAAGAGATGCAGAGCAGAGTCTACATGGATCTCTGTCTCTCCTGAGCGACTCCCCACCCCCACCCCCAGCCCACACCCTTTTGCAGGGGCCAGCTTATTCCCTCCAGACCAGGGTTCACCCAGCAATGTCCCCTGCCCACAGGGAGACCAGGCCCAGAACATTATCATGCCGAGTAGATGGGCTCTTCTGGGAACTCGGACTTCTCCATCCCAAACTAGCTTTACCCTCTGCAGAAGAAACTGACTCAGCATGAGGTTGGGGAGGTCAGCAGGGCCAGATGGTGTGGGATCATGAAGGCACGTGACAGGTAGGGAACCGTCCAGAGGCCACCACTGAGCCACTGAGATTCACTCCCCGCTGCTTCCCAAACTCTTGCCAAATAGGCCTCCTTTCAGTTCCTTGCCAAATTCTTTCTTGCCTCTGGGTCTTTCCACATACCGTTTGCTCTGCCTGACTTAGTCTCACCTCCACCCCTCACTCAGTGAACCTCTCCTCATCTATCAGCTCATAGCTGAAATGCACCACCTTAGAAAGACCTTCCCTGACCCCTTCTTCCCCCACTTCATCGTCTTCCCTCCTAGTGAAAGTGAAAAAAGTGTTAGTTGCTCAGCTGTGTCCTCTTCCAGTGTGTCCTCTTTGCGACCCCTTGGATGGTAGCCTGCCCAGGCTGCTCTGTCCATGGAATTCTCCAGGCAAGAATACTGGAGTGCGTTGCCATTCCCTTCTCCAGGGGATCCTCCTGACCCAGGGATCAAACCCCAGTCTCCTGCATTGCAGATAGACTCTTGATCATCTGAGCCACTAGGGAAGGGCCCCTAGCCCTTCGGTGTGACATATGACATATCCCTTCAGTGTGATGCTTCCTCTCCCAGGCTCTCCCTTTCATGGGGCAGGGGCTGTCTGCTTTCAAAGTCCTCTCCAGAGCAGAGCATTGGCTGAGGGACCCAACTATGGAGGCAGGGACCACTAGGAGGACTCCATGACCCCCCAAACATAAGAGGACAGCTGCTGGGACCAAGATGATGACCATGGACATTCAGAGAAGAGAGTTCTTTTGACCTGAGGACTAAAGGGAGTTATGCAGGCAAAGCAGGAGGGAGAAGGACCCTGCAGGGGTAACTGGGGCTCTTCTGAGGGCCAGAAGGAAATTCACTGACTAGGATGCAGCAACGTTCAGGTGACAATTTTTTCACCTTAAAAATGGCTTAGAAAAAAGAAATGGGTTAGGATGAAGATGTCACATTTCACCTACAAGGTGGGTCTTATGTTACTGATGAAGAAACCAAGGAGAGGTAAAGTAGCTGGCACAGGGTCAGGATTGCAGCCTGGTTTGCCCAGTGACATCCACATCCCGTGCTCTTAACCTGGGACTGGAGAGGTACCCAAACAGAACACTGGGCCAAGTGGTGGAGGTTACAGAGTTTGAGGCCCACAGCATCTAACACAGAAGTCAAAGGAGCAGACGACTCTGATGCTAAACTCACCTAAGCCCGTGGCTGACTGTGATCCAATGGGGAGGGACTAGGTGGGGAAATCCCAGGCCAAGGGAAAGTCCCCCACACAGGCAGAGCCTGGCACCTCAGCCGCCAAGTCAGCAGGGCGCTTTCTCAGCTGCACAGCTTCCGGCTGGCAAATCTGGGACCAAAGGGACAATCTTGTTTATGTCTCCATGTTGTTTTCTGATTGATGTATAGCTGATTTAAAGTGTTGTGTTAGTTTCCACTGTATAACATAATGATTAAGTTATGCATGTGTGCGTGCATGTCAAGTCACTTCAGTCGTGGGGACTTTGCGACCCTGTGGACCACAGCCCGCCAGGCTCCTCTGTCCACAGGATTCTCCAGGCAAGACAATTGGAATGGGTTGCCATGCCCTCCTCCAGGGGATATTCCCGACTCAGGGATCAAACCCACTTCTCTTAAGTCTCCTGCATTGGCAGGTATGTTCTTTACCACTAGTACCACCTGGGAAGCCATAGCCATATATATATACATATTCTTCTTATTATTCTTTTCCATTATAGTTTATTACAGGATATTGTGCTGTACAGTAGGACCTCATTGTTTATCTGTTTTATATATAACGGTTTGTATCAGCCAGTCTCAAATTCCTAATTTATTCCTCCCCCAAACTCTTTCCCCTTTGGTAGCCATAAGTTTATTTTCTATGCCTGTGAGCCTACTTCTGTTTTGTAAATAAGTTCATTCGTGTCATATTTTAGATTCCACCTATAAATGGTATCATATGAGACTTGTCTTTCTCTGCCTGAAAGACTTCACTTAGTATGATAACCTCTAGTCCCATCCGTGTTGCTGCAGACTGCATTATTTCGTTCTTTTTTCTGGTTGAGTAGTATCCTATTACGTGTATATACACACCGCGTCCTCTTTATCCTTTCGTCTGTTGGCAGACGTTGTTTCCAGCGTCTCCGTGTTCTGTCTCCCATGCTTCTGTGCCAGACTGTTGGGTGGCATTGCTGAGTGGCTGCTGCTGCTGAGACTTCCCTCCACTCTGCCTACCCGGCTGGTGCCGCCGCCTCCTTCACGGGCTCCCTTGAGCCAGTTGACCCCTCACTGATGGAACGGGCCTGGCAGTCGCCTCTGCTGGTTGCCCCAGCGCCTAGGCGTTAGCATATGGACTCTGTTTCTGCTCTCCTGCCTACAATCCATTGTTAACTTCTGGGGATCCACTCAGTGCTGGTGTGACAGCTGTGCCTTCGGGGGCTCCCCTCGTTCTGGATCCCAGACATCCTTTGGCTCTATTCCCCTTCTTCTGGAGTCTTAGCATCAGTGGTGGCCAGACAGGGTGAGCTGCTCACCTGAGCTACATCTGCCATCCTGTTCCCAACGTCAAAGACACTGCCCTGTAGGAGTTCATACGTCCGTGTCTACCTCTCCCTGTGGCTTCGTCTGCTTGTCTTACAAATTACCATCAGGTTTTATTAGAGTCTCAGGCAGTGTGGGGATGGGGCAAGAGATACACTGCAGCATTAATAGGAACTTCTGTATTCATTGAACCTGGTCTTGTGAGAAGACATACAAGCATGTGACAATTAATGGAAATGCAACGGTAGAAGCATAAAAATATTTCAGCAACATGGAGTTGCTAGAAAAACGTATTTGAGAAAAATGGAAAAACCTGAGGGTCACTCTTCCAGAGTCAGAGAGAGGAAGATTGACATTAAGGATGGAGTCATCAGAGAAACTGAATGTTGCTTTAGAGCAAAGGGGAAGGATGGGCTACTCAGAATCCCTGTTCTTATTCTCAAAATTAAAAGACCAATGTGATTAAGGAATAACTGACCTCATACATATTTCCCACTCAAGGAATACATTTATTTTTGGTGAATAAAAACCTGTCTTCTAAAAGGTTTTTAGGTAGGAAAATATGAGGATTTGCTGAATTTAACCTCCCACATTCCCCCAAAGATATTTATTGTTTTGCCCTATTATTAAAATTCATCTTAGCAACACAAATAGTCATAGTTTATTGCTTCAGTTTATTACTTGCCATGTTTAATTTTTAACAGATTTACAAGAATGAGATTTAAATTATTTGTATTTGTCTCTTATAATGTAGGATTAAATATTCTAAAATTATTACTCCCAAAATCATAAAAGTTGCATTATATTAGATATTTATAATCATTATTGTTTATCAATTATTAATAAATATCATTAATATTTCATAACAAGTACTATAAAATATTTGCAGGTGTTTGAGAGTTGTGACTGGTTTTCAGCCTAGAATAGTTTTCTAGTCTGATTTTTTTTTTTTCCTCTTTTCAATAGTCCCTTCCTTTGTGAGAATGAAATTCCCTTACCTTATTTAGAAAATTCTGGATCATCAGTTGTTTTGGTTATTTATTGTTATATCTAAAGCTATACCAAAACTTTGCAGCTTAAAGCAACAGCTTTATTTTGTTTATCATTTTATGGGTCAGAAGTTCAAGAAGGACTTCCCTTCTTCCCAGACATTATCTCTGCTCTAAGTGTATCAGCTAGGGAAGGTGACTGAGGCTGGAAGATGGCTCACTCACATGGCTG